GTGAAGGGGAAAAAGAGAAAGAAAGAAGAAACAAAGAGAAGAGAGAAAAGGGAACTGATAGAAAGAAAGGGAGAAAAAGACAAAGAAAGACAAAATTCGTACGATGTGAAATAAATGGAAAGGAACATTTCTTCCAAAGAGATTGGAGACAGTCGAACGTTCCTCTCTTTCCTTCCTTGTCGCATCTGATCGGAAAGCATCCATGAGGACGCTCACTTGGAAGTCACTAAGGGTGCGTTCAATCGAATTTTCGAAGCTAGAATCACAAACATGAATCACAATTCAAAACGCCGTTACAAAAAGCAAGGTCACTGCGGTTTGCGTTCAAGCGATTTTTCATCAACGCTGATTCTAGCTCATTGCGAGCCAAACCACTGCGCATCACACTGCGCAGTATGGCCCAGGAACTTCGGCGCGCGCTTTCTGGAATTGTTTACGGCCGACTGTCGACTGCTGTTTTGAGCATAGATCGCAATAATAAGACAAAGAATGAGAAGGTGATAGAAGGAAGAAACAAAGAATAACATAAGGAAAGACAGAAAGATAAAGTCGATAGAATGATTAAAACAAAGAATAACATAAGAGAAGGTGAAAGAAGGAAGAATCGAAGAATAACATAAGGAAAGACAGAAAGAGAGAGTGATAGAATGCTTAAAACAAAGAATTACATAAAAGGTGATAGAAGGAAAAAACAAAGCATAAGATAAGAATAGAAGGAAGAAACAAAGAATAACAAAAGAGAAGGTAATAGAAGGAAAAAACAAAGAATAACATAAAAATAGAAGGAAGAAACAAAGAATAACATAAGGAAAGACAGAAAGAGAATGTGAAAAAAGGAAGGAACAAAGAATGACATAAGGAAGAACAGAAAGAGAAAGTGATAGAATGATTAAAACAAAGAATAACATAAGAGAAGGTGAAAGAAGGAAGAATCAAGGAATAACATAAGGAAAGATAGAAAGAGAAAGTAACAAAATGATTAAAACAAAGAATAACATAAGAGAAAGTGATAGAATTATAAAAACAAAGAATAACATAAGAGAAGGTGAAAGAAGGAAGAATCGAAGAATAACATAAGGAAAGACAGAAAGAGAGAGTGATAGAATGCTTAAAACAAAGAATTACATAAAAGGTGATAGAAGGAAAAAACAAAGCATAAGATAAGAATAGAAGGAAGAAACAAAGAATAACAAAAGAGAAGGTAATAGAAGGAAAAAACAAAGAATAACATAAAAATAGAAGGAAGAAACAAAGAATAACATAAGGAAAGACAGAAAGAGAATGTGAAAAAAGGAAGGAACAAAGAATGACATAAGGAAGAACAGAAAGAGAAAGTGAAAGAATGATTAAAACAAAGAATAACATAAGAGAAGGTGAAAGAAGGAAGAATCAAGGAATAACATAAGGAAAGACAGAAAGAGAAATTGATAGAATGCTTAAAACAAAGAATTACATAAGAAAAGGTGATAGAAGGAAAAAACAAAGGATAACATAAGTATAGAAGGAAGAAACAAAGAATAACATAAGTAAAGACAGAAAGAGCAAATGATAGAATGATAAAAACAAAGAATTACATAAAAGGTGATAGAAGGAAAAAACAAAGCATAAGATAAGAATAGAAGGAAGAAACAAAGAATAACAAAAGAAAAGGTAATAGAAGGAAAAAACAACGAATAACATAAAAATAGAAGGAAGAAACATAGAATAACATAAGGAAAGACAGAAAGAGAATGTGAAAAAAGGAAGGAACAAAGAATGACATAAGGAAGAACAGAAAGAGAAAGTGATAGAATGATTAAAACAAAGAATAACATAAGAGAAGGTGAAAGAAGGAAGAACCAAAGAATAACATAAGGAAAGATAGAAAGAGAAAGTAACAGAATGATTAAAACAAAGAATAACATAAGAGAAAGTGATAGAATTATAAAAACAAAGAATAACATAAGAGAAGACGATAGAAGGAAGAAACAAAGAATAACATAAGGAAAGACAGAAAGAGAAATTGATAGAATGCTTAAAACAAAGAATTACATAAGAAAAGGTGATAGAAGGAAGAAACAAAGAATAACATAAGGAAAGACAGAAAGAGCAAATGATAGAATGATAAAAACAAAGAATAACATAAGAAAAGGTGATAGAAGGAAAAAAAAACAAAGAATAACATAAGAATAGAAGGAAGAAACAAAGAATAACATAAGGAAAGACAGAAAGAGAAAATAATAGAAGGAAAAACAAGGAATAACATAACGGAACAGGCCACGATGGTATAGTGAACGCAAATTGCATGCAAAGCGGGCGCGCGGTTTTTCCCAAACCGGAAGAGGCTTCGTCATACAATCATGATTGAGAACTCCGTCCGTTCAATCGAATTTTAGCGACCGTGATTCTTTTGAATCATGATACAAAACGCATCTTTTTCAGCGTTTCATGTTTGTGTTTTCAAACACGTTTATTTTTACGACCGACGAAAAAATCGCTTGAACGCATTGCGTTTTAAACTAAACGTCTTTAGAAACCGTGATTCTAGGGTGAAAAAGTGTCGATTAAACGCACCCTAAGTGTTGTGGGCGATCCTGTTCAAGTGCTGTGCCATGGTGAGGCCAGCCGTCTTGATCTTGATAGGACGTAGAGGTTCGGTTACCCTGTCGGCTAATCGACGTATAGAGTTGTTGATCCGGGCACTTGGTGCAATGGATGATAATTGTGTATCGTGAAGGTACAGCCCTTGGTAATGCAAATGAAGTTACCAGTGACCTTCCAGGTAGGATTGGGTCCCTGTTACATATTGGCATCGAAAATAACCTGACATCGGGGCCTCTGGCAAGGTTTGGATCCTGTAAATTGCACAAGAGACGGTAGTTTAGACGTCACTAGGAGCTGGCGAATGGAGGGGTCTTTTAATAGTAAGCGGCCGTCAGAGGAGACACATCGAAACTCTCCTTGGTCGCAGGGTTGTCTCAAGTAACAAGTTAAAATTGTCCTTCGCTGGCTTGGCTAGACGCTCACTCGTAGGGTGGTAGCGATGGTATCCTGCTTGAAGAACGCTGGTTTTGAAAACAATTGCCATTTATTGCTCAAAGTCCAAACTTTTCGTATCTCCCATGGTTATTTCTTCTTTCCTTTTGCACTATATGCACTATATGTATATGTTATTGCATCTTCTATCTAATGAGCTATCCCGAAAAAATATCATACATTCAAATACAATACCCATATAGTATATAGGTGATGTATTTTAATATTTGTTATTTTTTCGGGATAGCTCATCGGCATATTTAAATATCGCACCTAACGAATATCAACTCAATAAATAGAAATAAATGAAGGAAATATTGGTATGATACAATAATTAATTCAATTCTGAAACGTGATGTTAACCTTCTTTTCATAATTGTTAGTTTTCGGGTGGTTATTTTTTCATGGAGTGATGATTAATGTTTAATTTCTGCTCATTTATTGCAAGATATCAGTGACACTCCTGAGATGTTGGTGTTATCTTCGCAATTCTTTCTATCTGGAGAGAATATCAATAATGAAAGGTTGATCAACCTTCAGTGTCTAGCTACTGGGCACGATTACATAGACCTTCAGATACAAATAACTTCTTTTCTAACTACCAATGCAACTGCTCTATAACATGATTTCTATTGAACACACAGAAGGTTTCACCTTTGAATCATCAAGATTGAGACAATTAAAAAATCAATTTATATTATTTTGTTACGTTATAGCGTTCTTCCGAAAAGAAAGAAATACAAAAGTTCTAACCAACAAACTATGGGCGTTAATCGCTATAAACCAAGGGAGGGGACGCATCGTTGTACTCCAGATTTCTCTGACAAGCAAAATATCTTTATTCTTAAAATGAAATGAAATTAATAAATAACTAAGCCAATAAATAAATAGATGAATAAATGGATGAATGATTGAATGAATAATTTATTATAGAAATAAAATCAATGAATATTGAAATATATAAATTATAAAATACATAAATAAATAAATAATTAAATGGAATAAACAAATAGATGACAAAGTGAAGTACAGGTTCTCACAGTTTTGGGGTGCCCGTACAACTAAAGAAAAAAAATCGTTCTCTTTCCCACGATTACTTTCCATGCTAACGAGGGTGCAACGGCTTTATTTTCCAACATTTCGAATGTCAAGTTTGTAAAATTCCATGGTGATGATGCAGTCTTTGTATTATGTACTTTTGAAGCTGACGACGATGTTTTCAACTTTGCCTTTAATTACATAATTATATATTCTTAATGATCTGTTTAAAATTATGCCAATTATCTACCGTTTAACGAAAGTTGGCTTGATTTGCATGAATAATGTAAGCCCTTTCACCCTTTTTTCAGTCATTCTCACATTTTTAATCATCTTCAGCTCAGTGAAATATGAAAAGGATTGATGTAGAGCATATTAACGTACACAAAATAAGTACTTTAGACCGTCGTGTACAGACATATGCATTATTAAAAATCCCTTTCATTATTGGTGTGGTTTTCATCTTAACTGTGTTTCTGACTTAGGTATTATGACTGTAATGAATAAGGGGCCCGACAACTAGCCCTAATACCTAACATGACATTAAAGATTCTGAATTATCAATACCTTATGATACGAAATAATGAAAAAAGAATGAAATATTATCGTAAAGGGTTGCTTAATTTATAAACGAAATTAACTAGAAGATATTAGGGCTTGTAATATCAGCTGAAGAAAAAGATAACATTACAATACATTACGAACGAATTACAAACTTTATCTTCATTAACTTTTTTTAAAGGGATTTGTTTGTGATAGAGCCATACAAGTTTTAATTTAACGAACTTTGACCTTTGAGTCTCTAATAAACCTTTTGTCGTTAATACCTTTGCTACATTGATAATATATACCGACTGTCTTGAAAATAATGATATTTTGTGTTTGTATGCTCTGTCCTCGTTTGAAGAACTTTATTAAAGTGAATTTATCTTCTTCTTTCCGAATAGAAACCTTCCACTTTATCCTGAAAGTGATTTCACGAGACCTCAGACGAATCACATGACCACACTTCATTCACCTGTTATGTTACCAAGGAAACCGCTTAGTGATTATCCTCTGAGTGGGGTATCCAACATCCATCATCACTATCATCATCAACCCCCTCAACCAGTCGACAATCCAAGCCATCACGGAGCTGTTCTACCCTATTCAGGTATTCGTCAGTTCCTTTCAATATAACATTTATTTTCTTGCATTTCTTTCTGTCATCAAGCAATTGTTTTAAGAGTATATTAACATTTTTAACACAATAAATCATAAATTCATATTGGTCTATAAATGTAAATGTAGTCTGGCAAAAATTCGATTCCCTCTCTCTCAAAAAGAAGATAAGATTACATCTCTACTTGGTATTAGAGTGCCGGTGTCCAACATCTGATAGTCTGAATGAATCAGACAAAAGTACCATCAATAAGCATATATTCATGACATCATTAAAATAAAAAAATGTATGTTTTATTAGCATATTTTTATTGTTCATGATGTTTGAAAGAAATTCATTCTAAGCCGAAACGGTAATGTCACATGGTGATGTATTGGCAGACAACTCTCCCATTTGTTCCAACACACGAACTTACTAAACTGACAATTTCTCAAAATGCATGACTCAGGAGAGTCTTTTATTGTTAGAAGCCCTATGATAATATGCTCTACATGATATATTTGTGTATAAACGAAGAAAGAAAGCTCTAAGGAGAAAACAGAAATTAAAGTTATTTTTTGTACACTGAAGAAACGAGAGCGTCGTCCGTGGCTACCAAGTGACAAAATCGCCAATTTGAAAGTCGCACTTTCTTATCGGTCCGATAAATTCTCAAACTTTCGCCATTCTGTTTCTCTTATTTTTCTGCTTTCATACAATTGAAGTTATTTCATAGGTTAGACTGCACTTTAAACTTTTCATATATTGAATTCGAACAGATTTCGTACTCCGAGCTCTCTCCATTAAATAGTGCTGTACTTGTATTACATTAACAAGATTTTTGTTTTAACATTACGATTACACTTATTTAGATTCCGAATCATTTATTGACCTTTTTTCTCAAATAATAGTGCATAAAATAAACTAAGTGACAAAATACGTTTATGATATGAATAATTTTTTACGTGAAAGTATGTTACATGTATCGTATATACTAAGCGCGAAACTGAGCACATTGCACCATGTGATAAATCAAAGTTACCAATAACAACTGAGCATTTAAAGATTCTGGGGGTCACCGTTTTGCTTTCTACAGAATGAAAAAGAGAAAAAATACCGAGTAAACAGCAAACTTTAACGTCCATGCTGTTTATCCTTTTATGCCCACGATAAGTTTCTTTATGATCTATCTTTGGATTGGTAATTGTCCAAGTAATTACGATGCGCTTCAGCTATCGACCGTTTTGCATTTTGAAATTATTGGTAATTTAACAATGGAATAGTAATAGAAAAGTACAAACTTAATAAGTCTCCCCACAAGGTTGCATTTGATATATATGTATATATATGACAAATATTTCGCACACCATTTAATGGTTATTATATTATTCTTAGAGTTACCTTGACAGGACTAAACAAGATGAAAATATATTTTGAAAATTGATTTATTCAATTTACATATCTGTGTTGTCATTATCAATCATCATAAAATATTATTCCTTTAGTTGCATTGGTAATTTGTTTATTTATTCCACTCTGAGTAAGCCTTTAATATCATTAATTATAGGTTACGTGATCATATTGAATTTAACTTTGTGATATGGAGCAGAGTCAATCTAGTCATTAAGTTAATAAAATCAAAATTATTCTAGACTCGGTCTAAGATATCCCACTATATATATATATATAATTCGACATTTTGACGTCTAAAAAGTCATGTTTTTTTAATCGTACTTACTTGATTTTATTACGAGAACAAGCCGGAATTCTTCATTTTTAATCACGAAGTGATTTGTTTTATGTATGCCAGATACTAGATCAGTTACTAGGCCCTTTCGCAACAACTGGCATTTTGACGAATACAAAACATTGAGATGACAAAACTGCATTTTAAATCCAAAAAGCTCTTTCACGAAAATAGCGTATCCTGACAAAAGGGAAGTTGCAAATGCTCAACCATCATGAACATAAAATTATGAGACAGTATTTAGCAAGATAAATATTCTGGATGACGCTAGAGGGTTGGATAAGATAAAATGGTGGGGTAAAATAATCACATTCAAAAATCCATATATTTTGGTTGAAAATTTCATAGATTGTGTGACGTTTTTGCTTCCAAATGAAATTTTCGTTCGACCACCCCCTTCAAAATGTGTTATGCCCTGAGACTTCTTGCATACAAAATTATGTTGAAATCTAAATCAAAGAATTAAAAAGAAAGTCCCAAACACGCGATTTTGAGGTGATGAAAATCAAGATGCCATTTTCTGGTTTTGGTAGACAAAAGGAACAGCAAAGGATTGCTACAGTCGACTTTAGTCACACGTGTAGTGTATATAAAATGAAGGCCTACTGTAAACTCTAAAGTGCGTGACATTCTACAATTTCTATCCACGCTGGTTAAAGAATTAAATAGCCGTTATTATTATCACTATCATTATTATTTTTCTTTAGTTCCATACCCAACTTTTTTTCAAGGATTATTTGGGCTTTTAAATTTTCAATTATTTTCTTGCTGTTTTAAATCAGATTTATTGCGTGAAGGCTATGGTGTCCAAGGCTCAGATCAGCAAGGCTATGGTGGCTCATGGCAGAAGTCTCCCACTCTGGTAAGTCTCATTAAAGCGTTTTCATTTTTTATTACCACCTCCAGTAATCCTCGCATTAAGCATGTATTTCTTTCTTGAATGGATGGTGCAAAATGGTTGAATTTCTGGTTCCTCCTTCCAACTATCCGCGATATATTGAAATATTGAAACTTCAAATTGACTTTTACAAATAATGTATGACTTTTTCGTTTTCAAAACGCTTATAATATGGTTAGATTACATAAATAGTATGAATATAATGTAAGAAATGTATCGGGAAAAATACCATACCCGTTCCTGTAAATAATTTTTTTTAAATACTTCTTTCCGTTTCACTTATGATTTGTGTATGAATCGTCTATGATTTTACCTTATAGTGTGGACTGTATTTACTATGAAATTTCAATGACACTGCACACCAATAATTCATTTGATACAACAAAAATATGAAGGATAAAATATTCCATGACGATATAAAAAAATAATAATAATAATAATGAGCTCTCTCTCTCTCTCTCTCTCTCTCTCTCTCAATCTCCCCATTCTTCCTACATCATAATAGAATGGTACATCAGGTATCCTTCCATGTTCCGATGTCCTCCCTCATCATCAGCCGAACTTCCTCAACTCTTCCTCGGCAGCGGCTGCACGATCTCAGTCCGCCCACAGTCCCGGTCACCACACCAACCACCCCACGGTCCACCCCAACCATCAACAAGTCTCACCCTTCGTCTCCACAGCATCCACGCCTACTTCAGTGGGCGGGGCTACCTATGAAGACTACGCCTCCAAGCTGCGCTCTTCGGCCGATGAGAGCCGTTTCTCCCTGCCGTACACGCCCACCCCGCCCGCATGGCGCACAAACCACCATCACCATGCATCACAGCCCAGCGTCCCTCCACCACCGCCTCCTCCACCTCTCTACTTCTGTGGGAGGATGGTCCAAGTCAGATCCAACAAAAATAAGAGCGAACACAAGAAAAGTAAGTAGAAGAAATAGATTACTGAATGCATGTTGCATTCACCCGAGTAATGTGACATTGATGCATTTCTCTTTTCTCTGTGTTTTTTTTGGGGGGGGGGGGGCGGTAATTTTTCCTTTTTTTTTCTTCCATCCCTAATTTTTTTCTTGCAATTCATTTGAATGGTATAATGTTTTAGGGAATTAAATAGTGGGATATGATGATTAATGATTCATTTACATGTCCTGGAGCAATGACAGTGATTTGAACCGAGCACTTCTGTTTCAAAGACCCTCGGCCTATCCGAGGCCCTGAACCACCGGTTTATTGCCTTCTTTGTAGGAAAACATTTCGCCATAACATAAACATGACAAAAATACTATCTAAATCTTTATTTATTCTACAAAATATATACCGTGAATGATTTCGAAGACGAAATATTTAGGCAATTGTGATAGCCATACCCATCTTCTATTGAAATAACGCACATTACAACGACGTATTACGCAATCCCAACATGATCAGTATGGGATGTACAATAACATATTGAAATAGTGTTTACCTTAAAGGTAAAGACCAGTTATGGTCATGCGATTGCATTGTGAAAGAAACGTTGTGGAATCGATCAGAAAAGGTTGATCATCTAGCATTTAGCATCTGCAAGATTCTGGAATCATCAAAATGATAAGAAATTTGGCCCATTCTTCGTAAAGTTACAAGCACTATACACAGAAATATGTATATGGGACTACCCTATATCTCTCACAGACCATGAGAGAAACAAATTTACCAAATATATGAATTAGTAGGCGGTTTCCCGGCAAATTTTTTTTCATCATGTCAAAACATATTCTTTCACATGATTGGTAATGAGAGCTTCCATTTCACTTTTTGAAATTGGGGCGTTTCCAATACTGGTCTTTACCTTTAACTTGATTTTTCGAAAGTCTTTGTATGTCATGTATAACCTATAACAATCACTAACCGCTATTATATTTGAATCATATTATTTGCAGGTAGTAACCAATGCAACATATGCGGTAAGTCTTACGCAAGGCCAAGCACGCTGAAGACACACATGCGAACCCATTCGGGTGAGAAACCTTATCACTGTCCAACCTGCCAGAAGTCTTTCTCTCAAACAGCAAACTTAACGGCTCATATGAGAACACATTCAGGTGAAAAACCATTCAGATGCCTCATCTGTAACCGACAATTCTCTCAGGTGAGACACAGCTATGTATAGTTGATAGCACACTTAAAGACTAAGTGCACTTCAAAAATAATTTGCTTTTAATAGATACAAAACAACAAGAGAAACAGAGCAACAGAAATTTGAGTAAAATGGGATAACTAATAAGAAAGTTATGAATTTGTTAAAAAGTATGAAAAAATATAAAAATCCATAACTTTCTTATCAGTTATCCGATTTTGCTCAAACTTTTTTTTGATTGGTTTGTCTGATTGTTCTGCTTCTATTGAAAGAAAGTTATTTTTGGAGTGGACTTGGCCTTTGATACCAGTAACACGGTCGCTAACATTTCAAGAAATCTACCTAGAGCTATTTCAATAGCCCTGTATGTCACCTATTGAAATGTTCGACCATGATAATGACATAATCGTCCGAACACGTTTTCTATAGATATTGCAATATATAGATGATTGAAATCACCCTTAAGATTTCTTGAACGTGTTCGCCTCCATGTTCAGTGACTAGTAGCCTACACATATATTAGTTGATATAATCAATGTTTGGGTTTAGTCCACGATATTGACTCGTTTCTTCATCTAGATCTCGGAGTCCCCTTCCATAGTTTAAATTAAAAGAATATTTTACCGATGTATTATTATCACAGCTAGTAATAAGATATGGTAATCAAAACCGCGAAAAGTGTATATTTGATCAAGAGAATTTAGTGGCATGGTGCAGGCGCGTACACAGGGGGGGGGGGGGGGGGGGGGGGGGGGGGGGTTAGGGGTTAAACCCCCCTTTGGTAATTTTTTGTGTGTAAACCCCCCTAAATTTCCCTAAAACCCTCCCCCCCCCTTTTGGGGGGGGGGGGAGGAAATTCCCATGGTTGACCTAAAAAAGCTGACCATACCCCCCCCCCCCCCCAACGGAGCAAAATGTCAAATTTTCAAATTTCGAGACCAAAAAAAAAAAAAATGTGTCCTCTTACCCACCCCCCCCCCCCCCCGCTTATTCAGCGGCTGGCTGAGTCGTTGCGAAATTTTGGGCCCGATTTATAAATGTTAAAACCCCCCCCCCCCCCTTGAAAAAATCCTGCGTACGCGCCTGGCATGGTGAGATAAGCTAATTCATGGTTGATAGTTAACAACTGAACGAATTATCATTCCCTTGGAAGTAATGAACGTCTATTTACAACGAGATACACATTTGAAGTTAAGTGTATTCAAAAGAATGTCTGCTACAAAACATAAGTAGGACATAAGTTAGACTTCAGTTCATCATTTCGATTCAAACATATTCGAAAATGCTAACATTTGAGATTTTGGGATAAGTTCCCGGTTCTTATCAGCCTTCATGTGTTCACCTGTCAAGGTATACATGTATCTATTTCTTATCAACTGAATGTTTTATGCTTCATGAATTAAATTAAAAAATAAACAATTATATCAACCTGTTAGCTTACGCTACATTCAATTATGAAATCGAAAATGCTTTAAATGTTATCATCTGTATAAAGTATATGGCAATCTTTCTTTATGATTCTTTTAAGTTATTAATATTTAATAATGCATTTATTTTATGTTACTGATCAAGTATCAGTCATATTATTTATTTATTATGTTTTAATCCGTGTGTAAAATAAATTTGGGAAAAGACCGAAGAGAAATAAATACATCAATCAAAGTTGCTGTACTTTCCTTTGTCTTTGCAGAGTTCATCGGTCACTACGCACATGCGTACACATTCTGGAGAGCGCCCCTACCGGTGTGCTTACTGCAGGAAAGCCTTCGCTGATAGCTCCACCTTGACGAAACATCTTCGCATCCACAGTGGGGAAAAACCCTACCAATGTAAAATATGTCTCCTCAGGTTTTCGCAGAGTGGCAATCTAACGAGACACATGAAGGTCCACAAGAACGAGTAGAAGTATCTGATCCAGACTCTGGAGTCGCTCTGGGTGGACTGCAGTCAGTCAGGAATGAATCCATCCCGTCCCATGTTCAGCTGGCGTTCGTCCGCTACTGTCTTGTAGAGGATGTTTACCTGTCAAGCTATTCTGTACTCAGAGTCGCCTCTATACGATCTATGTGTTCACCCGAGACTATCCTGGGTGGTTCTTACCTGGTCTTCCTCTATCCCTGTCCACCGAAAGAAAGTGCGTTCATCTTCCAAGCTATCCCATACTCTGAGAAACGTCTGTAAAGTCACCCAGTGTTCACCTGAGACTTTCCTGGATGAATCTTACCTGATCTTCCTCTATTATTTTTATTACTGTCCATCGGAGGGCAGAGTGTGCATCTTTCAGGTTACCCTGCACTCTGGTTACCTTTAATGGGTCACTTTCTGTCCTATATTATTATCTGGTCTTCCTGTATTACTGTCCATGAGAATACAGAGTATGCATCTTTCAACTTCCTGTGGATAATCTAACACGGTCGTTCACTCGTTCAGATAATACCCGTGATATTAATCATGAAAAGTGTATAACATTCACATAAAATCTATGCAAAAAATGTCTTTCAGAATTTAGCGGAATACCATGTTTGTGTAAATTTTTGGTCGATGTAAGAGTTTTTCTATGACAGTGAGTACTGAATAATCCTCGAAGAATGTAAACAAAGAAAATATTAGATAAGTTTTGTTTTTTCCAATAAGCTTAAAGGGGTAGTTGAGTTCTGTTGCAGAGGGCGCTACACAAAACATTTTTCTGTGAGATAATGAAAAACCGAGTGTCAAATTTAAAAGAACTTACAATTGAAATGACAAAATCATCTTTGTTTGATCAAAATCGGTTCAGAGATGGCTGAAATATCCATAAATATAACAAGTTTTAATACTTGTGTACCAACACAAATATTAGATAATTTGAAAAAAGTTGTTGCAAAAAAACAAAATAGCGCCTTTTACGTCGTATTTCAGCCAATGCCGATGTTGGCTTTTTTTGTTGGCATTTTCGTGTTGGTTATTATGCACAACCAGCCGGCTCATGTATTGTTATTTTAATTAAATCATTAATTAACGGTCAGCTTATTTTTGGGAAAGTGGAACTGAATTAGTATGATCGTATTGGCTAAATTTCACACATTTTGGGGTCTAAAATTACCTTCATAGCAATTTTAGGTTATAAAAGGTCACTAGAGATGTCATAGATAAGAATAAGAGCAATAACCATGCACTTTGAAGGCATTTGCGGTCTGAAAACAGAACTCAAATATCCCTTTTAATGGTGATCCTGGAAACGGAAAAACTTACATTGAATTCTAAGGAATTGTATGTACAGGTCGTATGCATAGCAAATCATAGACATGGTAAATGCCCATAAAAGTCTTCTGGGCGGAGGCCGATATGCTTTAGTGAATTGCATCGATGTACAGTATAGAATACAAGATTTTGAAGGCAGGTTGAGGTAGCGTAAAGGAAACCTCACCCAAAAGAATAAGTGTAGGTTTTCTGGAAAATGAGATCGTGACCTTTGATGTACAATATTCCTTACGAAAATATACAAGAGATATATAAATGAAGATGTTCTTGACATGATGTTATGCCTTTTAGCATGACATGGGCGCGGCCATTTTCCTGAAAATGTGACGTACCAGTTGAAATTGTACAGGTATCAAGCACCAAGATTTAGTTGAAACAAATCAGGGTTTTAGTATTGGACGAAGGTTAAGCATTTTCTGTCGTGTGCACAGATATGCGCATGCGCTATAGCAATATGGCGCATCGTTGATCTAGCAATTACCAAACTGAAGGAAAATGAGCATAAATTACATATTTTGATCATGTTGGTGCAATTATCATGTTTCAACTATCCCTTTAATTGACAGCAAATGTAGATTGCAAGCACGCCCTGATCTGCGTGCATAAAGTCATGAAAGTAAAGTCTTATCTCAGATTTAAATTTTAAAAAGGGATTTCTCCTATCAAAATAAATCACTGTGCCTTCTGACGAATCTTCACACACATAAGAATATTTGTCTTTTTAATGACAATAGGATGGGATTTTGAGCTATAGTTCTTGATCCAGACAGACCGACAGACAGACAGAAAAAAAGACGAACATGGGGAGGGGTTCGTTCTTGTTCAAATTAATCTTTTTTTCCACCGAAAATGTTGATTGTTTTGTCATTTACCATTATATTTTACAGGATGGTAAAAATTGTAGCCGATAAGAGATTGCCGCAATGTGTCTTACTAAAAATATTGCCTCATTACTTTATACATGTACTTAAAAATGAATAATTTGTACACCTGCCACTTTTAATCCGAGAATGTATCCTTGTTGATAAACAAGGCGCCCTTTGATATTCAGTTCCCCCTCCAACACGTCTTTGTGCCTGTAAGTTCATAAAAACACGTTTATTTGGAGTGATCATTTATTTTGATAGAATAGGGCAGTATTTTTGTTCATACGAGTGTCATCTTCTGCCTTTAATGAAAGTAACATAATCACCAAAATTGTTGTAAAGTCTAACTGATTCTGTGTATTTGGCCAGGTTACTGCAGATAGAAAGGAAAAAGCAAATTCCGACAATGATCATTGAGGGCGCCAAAGTATCCAAAAATATGAAGATCATAAAGTGACGATTTTGTTGTAGTAGTCAAATATGCTAAATGCACACAATCCACAGCGCCATCTAGCGGCACCAGTGTTTATTCCATTCCACGCGATGCATCACGTTGGCCACTTTATGGCCCAACTTAAAGGTAAAGACCAGTATTGGAAACGCCCCAATTTCAAAAAATGAAATGGAAGCTCTCATTACCAATCATGTGAAAGAATATGTTTTGACTAATACATGATGATAAAAAATTTGCCGGGAAACCGCCTACTAATTCATATATTTGGTAAATTTGTTTCTCTCATGGTCCTTGAGAGATATAGGGTAGTCCCATATACATCTTTCTGTGTATAGTGCTTGTAACTTTACGAAGAATGGGCCAAATTTCTTATCATTTTGATGATTCCAGAACCTTGCAGATGCTAGATGCTAGATGATCAACCTTTTCCGATCGATTCGACAACGTTTCTTTCACAATGCAATCGCATGACCATAACTGGTCTTTACCTTTAACCGTTTTGGCCAGGGGTATTTTTTCTAATCGTTATTATTAGCAAATGAGATTAGATGGCCTATTCTGCAATGTGTACAAATGTTCCCTGGTGCTAGAAAAATCAACATCATTGAATGAATTTACATAGTTCGAAATACTTTGGTAATTTCGATCGGTGGTCAGTGTTTTGCTGTCCTGCACTGGTTGAAAGTCGTAGCGGTGGGTGCACCGTTAAATGTGAATCCACCCTATTCATATTAATGATACATGTATTTTGTCTTTCAATGTTATTTTTCTCTTTCTGTCTTTTTAATTATTTGTATCTTTCATCTATGGCAAATTTAAAGAGGGAAGGGGAGTATAATAGAGTAGAAAAAAAATGCCAGTGCCTCTTTGCCAAATAGACCGAAGAACAAAATGTGCGACAATCAGTTTGTATACAACCTTGTGAACAATTATATATATATATATAATCATTTTGTGTGTGTGTAACACGTGTGTGCTCGTGCTATTATTATCATGTGGATATTTGTTTTTATTCTGTTACATAACATTCCACGTGATGACATGACAATCTTTACTTTATCAGAATAACAATGTGTGTGAACTGTATAAATATGGCATATATAACTATGTTAGTGATCTGTAAACAAAAAAGGACAACTTTCTAACAAATATAAATGAATCAAGAACAGTCTATGTAAGCTTCATAGAACAAGGAGAATTCGAAGAAAATTGAGAATAATTTAGATGAATATTCGAAAAAGAAAGATACTATTTATTTTCGGCGGTGAATAAGAAAATATTCTGTTAATTATCAATCAATATTTACACTGATAGTTAAAACGTACAAATGTAATGTCTAACCAAGCAATTATTTATAGATACAGTATGTAGGTCTATAATTCATGCAATTAAAGTAGTGATACTACGCAAAAAGCTGAGGACATAATTAGTCTGAACGATGGGACTGTGACATGATAATATTATTGCAGAAATGTGTCTTAAATGACGTTCTCTTTAACATTTTGAAACAATTTAAGTGAAAAGCTGCCATCAAATTTTGGAGGCTCCCAACACTTTCGAGCGGCTTTAACTTGTTGGGATATAATCAGATTTTCGGTGATCACCTTCGAAAAAAGTGAATAGCTGCGTTTGATTTGACTGTCGATATAATATATATATTTATCGATCGATTTGAATGAATGTAAAAGTAATTTACTAACGCAAAAATCAAATAAAATGTTGTATTATTACTACAATTAATTTGTTTTACTGTGATACTTACCATATTCCATGTAGGAGCCTATGATTTGTTTATCATTATTATTATCATTATATCAGCACTATATTAAGCACTGGCACAGGTCCCAGTGCTTCCACTCGTGAACAAAGAGTTTCATGTAAAAGAACATGACATTACCTGGAATTTATTGGAATTTTTTTAAACTTTCAAGATTGGATGCATTGCTAGGGAAACCAACGTCATACGACTTGTTGCCCAGAACAAGATTATCAACTCATTTATGCGATCGAGGGGAAAGGCGTATAAAGATACATTTATAAGCGGCGGATCCAAGATTTTTCAAGGGGGAGGGGGGACAACGTGACCGCGAGGCGCACTGCAATCGTGCATACACGCTAGCCCTTCTTGGTAGGGTCCAGGGGCAGAGCCCCCAAGCCGTTCTCGAGTGTGTCTTATTTTTAAAGAACGTAAACAAGTCTTCAGATTGAGTAATCCATACCATTCATCAGTAGCAGAATACGCAACGCGCACCAATCAATGGGATGATGCCCGGAGTTAGAAACGCAATTCTGGTCAAGAAAAATGAAAGAAATCATCTGGATGAAAAAGAACGTATCCTTCACAAACTATTAATTGTCATCTACATGTATCTTCATTCGAGTGATCACGAGGCAGCAAAAAGCAAGAAATTAGGTGCATGGCAAAGGTCCGCAGTGGACGAAAGCTTGACCATTCAATTTTAAGGTTGGTAGAAAGCCAATAAACTACATGAAAAAAAACACTCATTCTCTCCTAAAGTCAATTATATACAATCGAAGGTTGTCTTGGGCACCACTTTTATCTTTACGGATGGGTCAAGGGGCAGAACCTTTGCTGGTATTCTAGGGTGAAGCCCCAGAAAGTTCTTGAATTTTTAAAAATTGAGAAAATTCAAAATGGCCATCACGAGCGATAGAAATTTGTATTTCCTCTTAAAAAGTCACATAGCCCCTTTCATTTCATTTTAGAAATAACCTCTCTTCGCCAACTCATCTGAAATTAAATCTGTATATGTAAATAGCGTCATGTTCTTTTTTCTGTCTGTATCTCTGTCTCTGCCTCTCTCTCCTTTTTCTCCAAGCTCTATCTTCTTCTTTTTTTCATTATTTTCTCTTTCTTTTCTTATTTTTCTTCCGTCGGTGGGCTTTGGTTTTCTTCCTATATCCAATACGTTGCCGACCCGTTACTCAGAGTACCGATTGTTATTTCCAATATTATATTTCTTCTTTTTTCCTTCTCTCTCTCTCTCTCTCTCTCTCTCTCTCTCTCTCTCTCTCTCTCTCTCTCTCTCCTTTTCCTCTCTTCTTCTCTTTTACCTTTTTTTGGGAGGTCTCCCTTTTTTCTTCTGTCGCTCTCCCTCCCCCTATTTTTAAGGGCGCGGCCGATTCGGCTCTCACCTGGATCTGGCACCGTTTTTAAAGCTAAATAATTTTTCTTGATTTAAAAAAAAATCTTTTTAAAATTCCATGACACTTTACAAATTCCGTATTTGATATACAAAAAAGGAAATTGGGGACTCTGTCCCGAGCGCGTTATTTTTTTCGGCGGCACAGATTGGGGTTAGGTGCGTGTTGAGCCTATGGGAAAGTTTAGGGTTAGGGTTAGGGTTAAATCAAGACCTCTTTTTTTCAAAAAGCCCCAATCTGTGCCGCAGAAAAAAAATGACGCGTCTAGGGCGGTCCGTATTGTGACATGCCCCGAGTTCCGGATGAGGAACGCGGTCTGGACTTTGAAAAGTCTCTAACAGTTTTTTGTTTAAATGACAGAGTGGTAGGATATGTGAATAGAAAGGAAGCAAAAGGAATCGAGACGAAGTGGAAGAGATAAAGCCAGAGAGAGAGAAAGAGGGGAGGGGGGGGGGGAGAAAGGAAGAGAAAAACTGAGAAGTGAACGAGAGAGAGAGAGAGAGAGAGAGAGAGAGAGATCGGGGGGGGGGGGGAGGTCTCTTACCTCATGCTCCTGCAATACCTGAACTGAATCTCTGTCTCCGTCTCTCCCTCCCTCCGTCTCACTGCCTCACTCAGTCTCTGTGTATGTCTATCTCTCTCACTCTTTCTGTCTCTCTCTTTACCTCTCTCTCTCCCTCTGTGTATCCACTCTCTCTGTCTTACTATGATAATCACACTTCTGTCTCTGTTTATGTCTATCTTTCTCACTCTTTCCGTCTCTCTCTCTCTCTCTCTCTCTCTCTCCTTTCTCTCTACCTCACTGTATCACCGTCTCACTTCTGTCTTTGTTTCTGTCTTCCTTCTCTCTCTCTCTCTTTCCTTCTCTGCCTGTCTGTCTGTGTCTCTCATTCTCTCTTTCTTCTCTTCTCTTCTCTACCTCTTCCTTCATAGAGGAAATGAGGTTCCGTTTCTGGTACACTATCAACAATCGCACAGTTTATACAGGAAACCTTTCTGTAGGTCACCGGTAAGAGAGCAGGCAGAGGGACGGAAAAACGGAAACCCGTGACAGCTGTAGTATAACCAGTGGCTGATCCAGCCAGGGAGGGAGCCTAGGCCCGTCGCCCCCCCCCCCACCCTTGGATCCGCGCCTGAGAATAAATGATAGGGCTGCGCTCATACATAGGGACTTTTCATGATTATCAAGCGCTATGGACATTGCAGAGATGTATCTCATCGTATGGGCAAAATTGTATTCAAACTAAACTTAATTCAAAGATCTGAAAATTCCAACATAATTTTGATCGTAGCCAAGCTAGCTAGACCATTACATTTTGTTTCCCAGGTGAGATGAACACAAAAACACAGTCCTGATCATGTTAAAGACCCTATCCGATGAAAATACAACTTGTTATCAATGGAAAGCTGAATGAATTATGAATACAAATATAAAGGAATTCAAAAGATTTCCCCTTTCAGTATTGCATAAAAGCGCATTCAAACCTTGTTGCCAGGTAGGACAAACATTTTGGCTTGACCTACCTAGCAACATATGATATATGCAGTTTGCATTCTGACTATTGAAATACTATTATTCTTATCAGGTGAATGAAATAATTTGTATTGAGGCACTTCACAAAGACTTATGCATTAAATTTGGTTACATTACGAAAATGGCCTATTTGATAGCTAGTTTTAGGTCGAGAACTCCCGATTTTCAAAGCTTTATATTTTGAGTTTTCAGAGAGCTGTCACCCTCCCCCCCCCCCCCCACTCCGGGAACGGAGGGACCGCATGCGTGTTCCCAAAATCTCCGGCTCGTAACAAAAGAAAAAGGTCTACCTGTATTGACTTTACACATCGGACTTATGCTGAAAGGGTAACTAGTTTGGCCAGCTGGTAACACGCATATGCGTACCCTAAATAACACTGAGTGGGGGAGGGGCGGGGCTGTCACTCGTCCGATTTTGATATATAATTTCATTTTCACTTCCTACAGGGTCTTTAAGTTGGTGGCTGTGTGTGTCTCTGCCCTACACAAGGTCTGATTCTATGAGAGATATTTTCAGCTTTGCAATCTCCACATCACACCGTACGTCATAATCATAATACATATCATTAAAATTGTACACGGCGATCCAACCTGAAAAGATTTATATTAATCTAAGAAAAGGGGGTTTAGGAGTATACAATAATAATTTGATTTAAGAGGTATCGTATACTGGGACAAAGAGAAGATTTAGAAGTGCGTGAAACCTACGTTGAAGCAGGGCCGGATCAGGGTGTCTCGGTGACCAGCCCCTTTTTGCCTGTCAGAGATTTTTGTTCGGATGGTATTCCGTATACCCGCCTCCTCGTGTTATAGCTAGATTAGGTGCCATGACTTTTTCAAACTCTCTGCATAAATTTATAATTTGTAAAGGTTAAACCAAATGAAATTTAAAATTACTTGAACATGTTTTCGGCGGCTGCAGGTGTAGTTTGGCGTAGCGTGGCATACAGCAAGGGCTCTCATGCTTATACATTTAATTTCCATATAATTATCATAATATCAAATGAAATATTAGAGATTGACATAAAAAATAACGATGTAGTTGCATTCTCGAGCTAATTGCAAAAGTTCACGGCCATTGGTAAGGCCGCCGCTTAGATGGGGGTGGGGGGGGGGGCTCCAGCCACCCCACCCCCCCCCCCCCCCCCATCAGGAAGAGGTGTATAGGATTACGGCAAACTCCTGCTATAATTTTGTGATAAGCTTTAGTACTTTTCAGATTACCTAACCTACACCATTATCCTCATTGTGTACGTGAACGACCCGCTATACAGTCAGTAGTTCGAGATAGTTTTTGTGCTTGTGCACTCGGTGTTGTTAATTCCAAACTGGTATTACGGTATCATTCAGCCTTATAAGCCTTATAACTCCTTGCTCATACTGACTGTGTCCATGTGAGAGCAACATGGCACCCCTGGCAGCTTTAGTACGCGTCTTGTGTCTTGGACTGGGACTCCTATGCAGTTCGACAGGGAAATCTACTAATTTCCTAGAGTTAGTGAATACTATTATTGACAATGATGTGAACCCTCAACCAATCTACAACAGGGTGGGCGGAAACAATGTCATCTCTAATCAACGAGAAGAGTAAGTATCGAGTTGTACTCATTTTACCAACCGCCCCCTTCCTTAAAGGGCATGTGACATCGAAATACAAGTGTATTCCTGTTGGTGTGCAGTCCTGCATACATCTCATATTTTGATATATAAACTTCTGAATTTGTTTCATAGATTTTGAAATATTTTTTGAAATATTTGTTTTTCAAACTTGCTATACAGCTCCACTCCAAAAACCTCCCAGATCTCATTCCCCTTGTGACATCATCTGTCAGTCATCAATGAGCTAACTTGAGAAAGTGGCATGAACTTTGCCAAAGTTGACCACCTGTTACAATGCCACAAACAATAGCAACATATAAGTTGCTATGTCAGACATGTCAGACTAAGCTAATATTCTAGAATAGACAATGGTATGTAATTTTCCCCAGATTTAATAGAATTGCATGCTTCCATATATATGCAGACTGGATTCCGAGTATTGCAGTCCATTCATTACCAACAGGTTACTGGAATACCTCGTCACTAGGTCCCCAGGAAAGAAACATCCATACCTTTGAATATGTTAGTGAACCGGTCTATTGTGTCGATATGAAGAGCTTGATTCCAAAAGGAGCTAAATCCATATTTTGTGGATTTAGCTCCTTTTAGAATGAAATATGGATTTAGCTCCTTTTGGAATGAAACTGTGATATGTTGTTTACTTTCTTTTCAAAAGGTTTTTTTTTATTTGTGATTTCTCTTTCATTATTAAAAAGGAAAAGGTTTGCTATTTGAATAAATTTAAGGGGCTTTATTGGGAAAATCTTTAAAAATTCAGGTACAATATTATGTTTCATTCCAAAAGGAGCTAAATCCACGAGAAAAAAAATCTAAAAATTTGGTAAAAATCAGGAAAAACTGGTAGTTTTTTTCTTATCATATATTATTGATCCAGGGTGACACATTTAAAGGCCCACTGCACTACTTGCGCCCTCTATATAACAAACAATGCCTAATCGGTGACCATTGGTCCCCCATGATCCTCTTTTTCTTATGTTAACTGAGAGCTGAGTTGATGAGATAACCACCTGTCCAGTGACCTTGCAGGGCAGTCTAATCCCTCCTGTAAACTACGGCAGATAAGCTTTAACATATATATCAATATTAAGGTACATGACTAAAGGGAAAGTGGAGATATAAAAAAAGGCGATTTACTCAGAAGTACCCAAAGTGGATTTAGCTCCTATTGGAATGATACTCTTCATGTTGATTGATGGCATAGAATGTAACAGAATAAAATAGTATTGTATCGGGTTTCTTAGGTCAACTAACAAGTCCCTGGGTGGATCAAGGTACAAGAAATGAGTCGTTTAAATTTGATGAAGTTTTACGAAAATTTGATAGTCCTCATTTCCAACGATATTTATTTGGTAGCAAGCTGTATATAAACGAGACTAGATTACTTAATGGAGTTAGACATTTTTCATTTTACAAGATTTTTTATCTAGCAAACCTTTAACATGCTGGAGAGTTGCAAAGTTCTCGTTTATAGAGAAATTACAAATGATACAAGAATATAATCGATGCCTTTACTAATTACACAGTGTGGTTTATTATGATAAATGATTATGGATAGCGTATAATCGAGTTTTGCTTTCGCCTAAAAAATAATTATGGTTGACTATAATCGTTTATTTTATCTCATTAGTTACATTGCTCATTTTGACTTTTGACATTAACTTTACTTAAAGCAATATCAGATTTCAATAACATTTGTTATCAATGTGTAGGTATAGCTCGCCTTACACGTAATTTCTATAACTATAGGTTTTAGTATCGTTTGGATGTTTCCTTGTAATGTTTATCGCGTCGCCAGAAGCTTCCGGGTATTCTACAAATATTATCAGATTTTCAGAAAGCACTTGATTAAGATGCAGACTTTAAATTGCCTTTTATACAACAATTATATATCTTAGATGCAATGGATAACAATAGGAGGCTCGGGACATGTGCCTCCAACGAAATAGCATAATAAAGTAAGAGAAAAAAGGAGAAAAGAGAAGGATGGCGGCCAGGTACGTAAAAGGAAGACCTTTTTAAAAATAATATATTACACGTTCTGCGTATTTAATAGAGAAAACGGTGCCCCCCCCCCCCCCCCGTGATATGAGTGACAGAGAGATATTTTATGCAAATGTACGCCATGTATTTGTTCGTGTAAGTAATGAAATTCTACCACCGTTATTGTTGTTGTTGTGGCTACATGGTGATGTACGCCATTGTATTTTATAGCTTATTTTTTTTACCTTATTTTCGATATGTCTGATATACACTCTCATCCTCAGCATTATCTTTTATATATATTTATTTTTCTTTTTTTTTCCATCATTTATTAATTGAATAATAATACGTACATAAGAGACACAAAATTATCTCGATTACAAAGAAAAACACATGAATTATACTTTTATCACAAAATTAATTATACTTTTTTGTTTAACATAGTCAACATTTTTTTCCAGAGATGATCCTTTTCAACATTTGCCCTCCATAAAATTTCCTTTAAATAAATGTCAAATATGTTTGTAAAATTACCTTTTCTTTTTTGCGTATATAAAACATAAGAAGCTAAATTAATTAATAGATTTTTGAAAACTACATATTTTGAATTTATATAATCACATTGCTTGCCTACAAGTATATCACTGTATTCAATGTTTTCATTATCAAACAATACCTCTCTTTTTTTTGAGAAAAATTAAGACCTTGTTCCAAAATATTTTTGAGTACTCACAGTCATAAAATAAATGATAATGATTTTCTGTGCATTTGCACTTCAAACAATAACCAATATCATTTCTATAACTTAATGTTGATGTCAAAAGAATGAGACAAGATTAGGTGAGGGCTGATGAGGCCGCTCTACCACGGCCTGTACTGCCCGGGCCTTGCCTGGTCCTTGCCTGGTCCTTGCCTGGTCCTTGCCTGGTCCAATATGGAAAGTCTGCTATGCCAGCAGCATGCATAGCCTGTAACATTCACCTTCGTGACCAACACCCCTCATTAGGAACTTTTAGATGGACGAGAAAGGCGTTGAACGTCCACTGATCATGCGTGTCAATGGCAAGCCGTTTAATTCTTGATATCACAAAAATGATTTTCTGTTGTAAAGCTATGGTAATTCTTGATGTTAAAAATCGAATTCGCATTAGTGAGCACTAATTTATTTTTTTGCCCGCGAAAATTTAAAAATCGCAACCCCCCCACCCCCTTGAGCAACCCTCTGGGGAGGGCCCTCTCCAAATGAAGGTACGTGTTTTTACCTGTTTTTTCTCTTGAGATGAAATAAGACCTACTGCCTCTGAGTTTGTGTCTGTTTGTTTGTTTTTTCATTGACTGATACAGCGCACCAGCCAGTTCAAACACGACGTTATCGTTCTCGGTTTCAATCGAAACTAATAAAGTGATGCACACGGTTGACCGTCGATACCTCTCTACCGGTTTCAGCGCAAAAGAAGTGGCCTTTCCACCTCCTGTGGCTTTTGATCCAAAGTAAGTCTATCTTGCAACTAATAATTTACCAAGTCCATATAAATATATATCTAAATTTAACATTTATTCTTCGTCAAAATCCCCCCCTGAATATTTCGGGAGGGGACGTCATGTCTCCGAAAATCCACGATGCACGACCGGTGTTCAAGAGTGTTAGATCAATGGTTCGGGAACGCGACTTAACTGAGGAGAGAAGGTTCTTTAGGATATACGCCCCCTTATCGGTCTCCCCTCCCCCTCCCCTCCCCCTCCCTATGGTTTTGTAGCGTAAACGTTGCATTCAAGCAAACGAAGCTCTGTATATTTAGAATCTACTGTTAACAGATATGCTATCGTATGATAAAGTAAATGTATAGATATGCTATGGCGAGGGAGCGAAACGACCGGGCGAGAAAACTTTCCATTTTGTATCATTTCACAGCCTAAATGGGGTATTTTAGCCTTCACCTTTTTTTGTTAAGCATCTTTCATTTTTCTTTCTCATATTAATTTTCATTTTCGAAAATTACGTGGGGGAGTGGAAATGTGTCCGCCCCCCCCCCCCCCCCCCCCCGCGCTCCCTGGATCGCCGCCCCAGTATAATGAATGAACTGAATTTTCCTTGTTACACAGGGCGATTACCGGTTTTGAACAAAAAATGAATATTGAATAAGCCTACAATGTAATCAAAATCTAGATTTTTTAATGTTTCCTACATAATTATGTTTGTGAACACGGCCTTGACGTCCATTATTACCATGGTTACAGCTCGGTCCTCCTCCAAACATTGATGCGTGGACTCTCTCCTGCTGTATTACGTGTAGGAGGAAGATCGGGAGACGAGGTGTTATTCATGGTCAATGGTTCTACCAACGCCATCCCCATCCCCTCGTTCGATGTGGATCATTTTATCACAGGTGGGATTATAGATCTTAGTCGCTTCCGTATGGTGGCCCTGAAGGGACATCGCGAATAGACTAAATCGTGAAAAATATGCGATAAAATTCACGATATCGTCAATTTTATCGCATATTTTTCACGAAGAAATTCACGAAATTGACGATATCGTGAACTTTATCGTGAACTTTTCACGATGAAATTGACGATATCGTGAATTTTATCGTGAAAAGTTCACGATATAAAGTTCACGATATCGTCAATTTTATCGTGTACTCTATCGTGTACTCTATCGTGTACTCTCCTGACGGGCGCTTCGTAAACAAAACCAGCCCTAGCTGGGGGAGACAGAGAGAAGGAAAAAAGGGAAAGGGAAAGAGAAGATAAAAGGAAAGAAAGAATAAGAAGAAGAAAAGAGGGAAACGGGGGGGGGGGGACGAAGGGCTCTTGCCTCCTCCTCACTCCCCCCCCCCCCACCCGCCAAAAAATAAATAAGGAGAGAGAGAAGGGAAAGGGAAAGGGAAAGAAAATATAAAAGGAAAGAAAGAAGAGGAAGAAGGAAAGAGGGAAACGGGGGAAGGGCGAAGGGCTCTTGCCTCCTCCCTCCCCACCCCCCGCCAAAAAAATAAATAAGAGATAGAGAGAGAAGGGAAAGGGAAAGGGAAAGAGAAGATAAAAGGAAAGAAAGAAGAGGAAGAAGAAGAAGAAAACAGGGAAACGGGGGCGAAGGGCTCTTGCATCCCCCGCCCCAAAAAATAAATAAGAGAGAGAGAGAGAGAGAGAAGGGAAAGGGAAAGAGAATAAAAAAGGAAAGGAAGAAGAATAAGAAAAAAAGAGGGGCTCTTGCCTCCTCCCCCCCCCTCCCGCGCCAACAAATAAATAGGAGAGAGAGAGAGAGAGATAGAGAGAAGGGAAAGGGAAAGGGAAAGAAAATATAAAAGGAAAGAAAGAAGAAGAAGACGGAAAGAGGGAAACGGGGGAAGGGCGAAAGGCTCTTACCTCCCCCTCCCCCTCCCGCCATAAAGGGAAAGAGAAGGGAGAGGGAAAGAAAATATAAAAAGGAAAGAAAGAAGAGGAAAAAGAATAAGAAAAGAGGGAAACAGGGGCGAAGGGCTCTTGCCTCCTTTCTTTTCTTTCTTTTCCTTTCTTTCCTATTCTCCCTTTTTTTTTTCGTTTTTCTCTTTCTTTCTTCTCTTTCCCTTTCCTTCTCTCTCTCTCTTATTTATTTTTTGGCGGGGGCGGGGGGACGAGGCAAAAGCCCTTTGCCCCCGTTTCCCTCTTTTCTTCTTCTTCCTCTTCTTTCTTTCCTTTTATCTTCTCTTTCCCTTTCCCTTTCCCTTCTCTCTCTCTCTCTGATTTATTTTTTGGCGGGGGGGGGGAGGGGGGGGGCAAGAGTCCTTCGCCCTTCCCCCGTTTTCCTCTTTTCTTCTTCTTCCTCTTCTTTCTTTCCTTTTATCTTCTCTTTCCCTTTCCCTTTCCCTTCTCTCTCTCTCTCTGATTTATTTTTTGGCGGGGAGGGGGGGGGGGGAGTGAGGAGGAGGCAAGAGCCCTTCGCCCCCCCCCCCGTTTCCCTCTTTTCTTCTTATTATTCTTTCTTTCCTTTTATCTTCTCTTTCCCTTTCCCTTTTTTCCTTCTTTCTGTCTCCCCCAGCTAGGGCTGGTTTTGTTTACGAAGCGCCCGTCAGGAGAGTACACGATAGAGTACACGATAGAGTACACGATAAAATTGACGATATCGTGAACTTTATATCGTGAACTTTTCACGATAAAATTCACGATATCGTCAATTTCATCGTGAAAAGTTCACGATAAAGTTCACGAAATCGTCAATTTCGTGAATTTCTTCGTGAAAAATATGCGATAAAATTGACGATATCGTGAATTTTATCGCATATTTTTCACGATTTAGTCTATTCGCGATGTCCCTTCAGGGCCACCATACTTCCGTGCCGTCTGTTGACAGGCAGAACGGCATCATGCAGTGTTCCGGATTTAGGGGGGGGGGGTACATTGAGCAGTGTTCCGGATTTAGGGGGTTACATTGAGCAGTGCTCCGGATTTAGGGGGGTCTCCAAGGCAGGAAAAGCCCGTGAAAAGCCCGCATACTACTCCAGCAATCCAACAAAACTGCCAAGGGTAATGCTAGACTCTGTCTCTAGTCGTTTGCACAGTATATTTGACTGAAGTGGCTAAACAGTTGTGTAAAAAAAATATGCGCCTTTTTTCACAACTGTTTAGCCACTTCAGTCAAATATACTGTGCAAACGACTAGAGACAGAGTCTAGCATTACCCTTGGCAGTTTTGTTGGATTGCTGGAGTAGTATGTGTACATACTCGTTATTTCGGGTTAAATCTAACCTCTCTTCTCTTTCATTATATATTTCTGTGCTCTCCTTCTATCTATCCTCTTCTCTTTTGTCATGAATTTCTTTTTTTTCTTCAATCTATCCTTTTTCTCCTTCGTTATACATTTCTTTGTTTTTCCTTCAATCTATCCCCCAGTTCTCCTTCGTTATGTATTTCTTTTGTTCTCCTTTATTCTAACCTCTATTCTTTTGTTTTATGTATTTCGTTGTTTCCCCTTCAATCTATCCTTTTCTCCTTCGTCATCTATTTCTTTGTTTTAATCTGATAGATGATCCCTTAATCCTTCTTTATGTATTTCCATGTTTTTCCTTAGTCTAGATGATGATCCTCTTGGCTCTTCAAACATTATTTGTATGTTCTTCCTTTGACTTATCCTCTTCTCTTTCCTTATGTATTTCCTTGTTTTTCCTTCTCCATATCCTCTCCACTATCCTTGTTTTCCCCTTCTATCATCTTTGCTTGCACATTATATAGTGCGCTGACGACCTAGACTCTTTCACCAGAGCACTTCTTGGAATTTTTTCGCAAAAATGGCTAAACAGTTGTGTAAAAAAAAATATGCGCGGACGGGAGTGAATGGGAATCAATGATTTTACTTTTCATAATGAAACAATCCTGAATAAGCTTTCAAAACTAGCAGGAATTTCTGAAATCTGATCGCGGGATTTCATCAATATTTTTCTATGTTCAACTTCAAGATATTTTATAACCCCCTTTTTTAATTACAAAGAGATGAGAGGAAAACACCCCCTGTTTAGAGAAATCTCCGGGTGAAAGTCAAATACACCCCCTTTTGTTTACATTTCTCGGGCCGGACTTTGTCGCACGAAAAGTACCCCTTTACCGGACATTTTGGCAACACGCATGCGGTCATTTCGAAACCTCAGTGGGGGGGGGGGGGGGGGGGGGGGCCGGGAACAGCATAAACTAAAATCACTTTATAAAGAGTTACAGGGAAGCCTACCTTGATATTCATTTGGTTTTAATAGACGCAGAAAATGAGAGTAACAGGTCAGTGAAAGTTCGAGCAACAGCCGATGAGAAATAAGAAATTTATGCGTTTTGGAAGATGCAATCAGATGCAATCAATGAAACATAAATTAGCAACTCGGTGACGTATCTTGCGATCTTCACAAAATCTATATTTTCATCATCAGCGTTTAATGTCCATTTGTCCCACTTTGAGGGGTTGGACATTTCATTTCCTTAATGGCTGCTTTCCAAGCTTTCCTGTCTGTGGGATCCATATGACTGATACCCGATGTTTTGGCATCTTCTTCTATAGTTTCCCTCCAAGTCTTCCTGGGTCTCCCGCGGGGTCTTCTTCCGGTGACCGGAAAGTTTAGAACCCTCTGGAGCCAGTGTGTTGCCTCTCTTCTTGCCACAAGTCCAAACCATCTAAGTCTATTCATCCTCATAACCTGTACCACCCCATCAATCCCATTGATTGAAGGAGGACTGTATTCTTCTATCTCTCTTGTGAAGTGATACCCTGCGCATCCACCTCACCATCCTCATCTAAGCTTTCTCCATTCGCTGTACACTGGGTGATTTCATTGCCCATGTGTCGCTCCCGTACGTCATGCATTTCATTTCCCTTAAGGAAATTTTTAATCGTACATTCACCCTATAATTATTGCAAATGTGTTTTATACTACCCATGTATGAGACAAATCTATTCCGTCATAAATAAAGAAAAAATGAAACTTTATGAAATTGTCTGTACAAGGCAACTGGAGGAAGCTCGCAAGATACGTCACAAAGTTTCCAATCTGTGTTCGATTGATTGCACCTTCAACAATTTAAAAATGTTCTTACTTTTAATCGGTTTTGCTCAAACTTTCACTGACCAACTTAAGATCAGGGTAGACTTGCCGTTTAACGCCCTTATGACTCTGAGTTGACGATGTGTTTCACCTTATTATACTCGATTATACATGGCCTTTGATCTCTCAGGCAACGATTCGTAAAGCCCCAATCCACAAGGAGATAACTTACGGGAGAAAAATGCTACTTCTAATCGCAGGCAATCTTATACGTCAAGTGGTATGACAGTAGGTGGGCATTTGGGTAGTATACACATGTCAAATTTTTATGATGAGGATAGTTAAGCTATTTCACTGATATGTTTAGCGTCATGCATCATTGCAAACCTTCCTGTTTCAATTTGTGTGCAAAATTCCAGTTGTTCCACTTTTCACCAATCGCTTTATCAAGCAATATGTTGTCTCTTCTTATCATGGTTAATTTAAAAAAAAATGTATTTATGGCGATGAGATATGTTTTATAGTAATTAAAAGCCAATGCACCTGAAGACTGTTTTATGGAAACTTGTTTTTTTCTTCATTTTGGAAACTTTCTGTACATTCTTTAAATCTGGGCGAATATGACAAAAACCAGTGTGATAAAAGAGCGACATCTCATAGAAATCCAGGTTAAGTGGTGCATGGACTTTATAACCAAGCTAAGGTATCTTTTGAAATTATTCGGTTTTGTTTGTTTGTTTGTAGTGTTTCTTTAAAGTACATATAGGAAAGGATGAATATAGTGAGGCTTATTTCGTTCCATCGTGTCACTAACTGTCGTGAAAAATTGCCCCCCTTTTTACGAAAAGTCGAATTAACGTCTATAAAATACACCCCTCTTTAATATCGACAAAGTGGTGGGTCCAGCTTACCCTACATTTTTTCTGCAAAACTTGAGGCAAATCAACGAAAGCTCCCGCCTCGAACTGACACTATTTAATACGAGATAAAAAGTCACAAGAGTTCGTAAAAAGGCTAGCGATCGACACTTCGTCACTTTGCGTAGATATTCACAACTGAATGATACACGCCTTAAAACTAAACCAACAACACAACAATGTCATTGCTTGATTGTATGGGCATGTTTTTACAAATTTACATAGCTTTTTCTCAAAGACCATCTTTAAATGGATTTATTTGCTGTCAATTGTATAAGTATGGGGTATTATGGGGTTTGGAGAAGAAGAAGAAAAAAATTCTCGTGACAATAAATAATATGATTGGGAATACCCCCTTCCATGCTTTCCAGGTGAACAGTGGAAGGGTTTGAATGAATTTACCAGGAAGTGTGGAGTAGACCTTGCCTTTACTCTGAACGTGGCCGTCAGGAAAGGCGATTCATGGGACCCGACTAACGCTAAGGAACTCCTGGACTTCAACGCCAACCACGGTTACCGTGTCATATGGCAGTTAGGAAACGGTAAGACGTACGATCTGTGTGGTTGTTACGATGATGGTGATGACGATGATGATGATGACGATGATGGTGATGGTGATGATGATGGTGGTGGCGGTGATAGTTTTTATTATGATGATGAAGATGATGACGATGATGGTGATGATGGTGATGGTGATGATGATGATGACGATGATGGTGATGGTGGTGATGATGGTGGTGGCGGTGATAGTGGTGATTATGATGATGAAGATAATGACGATGATGGTGATGGTGATGATGATGGTGGTGGCGGTGATAGTGGTGATTATGATGATGAAGATGATGACGATGATGGTGATGGTGATGATGATGAAGATGATGACGATGGTGGTGGTAGCGGTGATAGTGGTGATGATGATGAAGATGATGACGATGATGGTGATGGTGGTGATGATGGTGGTGATGATGGTGGTGGCGGTGATAGTGGTAATTATGATGATGAAGATGATGACGATGATGACGATGATGGTGATGGTGATGATGATGATGACGATGATGGTGATGAGGAAGACAATGTAGATGCTTATGATAATGATGATGATGATGATGTTGAAGATGAAGAACAAAACGAAGGAGAAGAAGAAGAACAGCAGGATGATGATGATATCAATGAGCAAAGTAGTGCATTAGTCTAAATGTCAAGGCCTCAGGAAACTGTTATCTCTTCCTCTTATAACAAACGATAACAGCTTTGCCTATAATAGTCCTGTAACAGTTGTTGTTGTTGATTTGTGTTCTAGATGGGTATTGAAGTAAATTCAGCTTGGTTGCCAGCTTGGCAACCTTGGGCAACTTTTTTAATAGCCATATTAACATAATCATCTAATTAGCACAATTATGTGCAATATGTAATAATGTTGCTAAAATCTCAATCCAGGAAGCCTGGAACAATGGATAATACGACTTTTCGAGGGTTTTTTATGACGAGGAATTTATTTATGACACCAGTTATGACAAGTAATGCAATTGTCTTAAATAGCATAATTAGCATATGTACTATATATGGACTTCATTGTCATTGTTTATCTATAAAGCCTAAAAATGGTGCAACGCAACATTGTAAATCACTTTTGAAAGACTAATCATTAATTCACGAGAAGATATTCCATGTATATGTAGTATAATTAGCCTAATTAGCATATATGTGCAATATGTAATAATGTTGCTAATCTTAATCCAGGAAGCCTGAACACATGGATAATCTAGAACACAAATCAACAAAAAACCTTGTACTTATCAACTTTTCCAGGTCATGTACATGGTATATGGTACCGTCTACTGGACCACTTTTTAGTACCTAGATCAGAGACCGGCATTCTATATGGATGTATTTGAAAGGCCCAATGGACGTTGCCTATCTTAGGACTCGTTAATATTGCAGCACTCTATCTATTATCCATAAACACACCCTGCCAGATTTTAACATTGCCGTTTCACAGTTTATGGAACGGTCTATATGCTGGTCGTATGATAGACTGCAGGTCTGAAATCTGAAATGTAGCCCTATTGTTATACAGCTCTTTTGGCAGTCTTTCACAGTGTCATGACAATTACGCGCTGACGAATAATAATAACAATACTCAGTTTGTATAAAGCGCTTATTACAATCACTAAGCGGTTATTAAAATCACTAAGCGGTTCCAAACTTTGAGATTATTTCTCCGGCTTTAGCTGTGCTGCCATTACGGCGCTCTAGCATTTCAAGGAATGAATTCCTGTCAGGTACCCATTTACATCACCTGGGTTGAGTGTGGCAAATGTAGATCAATGTCTTGTCAAAGGATATTAGTGCCGTGGTGGGTCTCGAACCGCGGTCCTTGTGATCGACAGTCCGGCGACTTAACCACTCGACCACGGCACCTCTGGGTCTAAGTCTTCAATGGTCCATGAGGGCTTAGGGAGAAGCATCTTTTCGAATTTAATCAATTTATAAGAACTCAATTCTTCAAACAGTCTACTGCATTATGATATCTATGTCACGTTTAAATGTTTGAACCTTCTTAGAACCTAAAAGATTCAAGAAAAACTACTTGATGACGATACCAGCTAGTCAATTAGCCAAGGACTTCATCACCCTTCGAGGTATACTATCAGAGGACCGATACAGGTATAGCAACGAGCTAGTTGGACCTGATATAGGCCACTTTCCAATTCATAAATGCGCAAGGACGGACATGCCAGACTTCTCATCAACTACTGCTACCTATCTACAAAGGTTTGTCTTTATAGTATTGCAAGTAACGAGATAAAAAGATAATAAAGTTGACAATAAGGTATAAGGCTAGTCATTAGCTAAATTAGACTGGACTTACCTTCTTTATGTTGCAAATATAGTCACCGATGAAGATGTTTATTGAATCCAATCACTTGATGGAAATTCTGCACTAGAGTCTACAAGTAGTGTAGTTTCGTAGAAAGTCAATATCTTCGATGGATAGAGAAAATTTCCTTCCAGTCTCGGACATGTACAGTCTAAATTGTAACCCATTTTTTTCACAACGCCAGAAATACATTTTACTTTAGCATTGTAGAAAGACCTTTTTTTTAACAAGGTTGACTTTTCTCGAGCCTATGAAGTGGAAGCCAATCTTGTCTTCTTCACTTAAAAGCAGAATGTGAGAAAAATATAATTTCAAATTTAAAAAAAAAATCGATAAAGGAAAAGAAGTTATGAAAATGATATCGATGAAGCTATTGCTAACTCAGTGATGAACCTAGCGATCGTCTCTCCTTTTGTTTTGTTTTGGGTTCTTTTAACTCTCTTTGACATTAATGAATTTCCATTTTTTCTATTTCGAAACCTGTGTATCAGATATTGAACACGTGTTTTTTTATATGGCTATATAAAATCGAATTTCCCCTCATTAGCAACAAGGACCAAAAAGATTGATAGTTTTCATAATTCTCAGTGAAAACTCAAATCTAGCACGGCTCGCTAAGGAATTCATTGAGTTACCCATTTCTGTTCGAATGGTTACATGTTGTTTATCAAACTCGTCACTTGGCAAGTCCAAGCTACGTTGTCCCATACATTATCGACCACATGTACGATTTCAGTATATCCGATGATGCACTTCACATCCCCATACTATAGAGCTCGGATCAAACGAACTATGATGTAAAATGACACATTTTGGTGTCAATTTATTGGTTTGGTTCAGACCTCGATCACAGTATTTGATAATGTATGGGACATCACATTATAAAAAAGCTTCGACCTTGCCCAAATTAAAACTGACAACAACAAAATTGTATTAATTAATGAATGTATGGTCTGATTTTGATACAGGTTCCTGCGCGATGCTGGCGATGCAATCAACGCAACTACTCTTCATTTTTACAATTTGCACGGAGCCAGCAGCAATTCAATCCACAATTTTACTGACCCAGACCAACTCTTCAGAACCCGATGCGAGCTTCAGATATTTAGGAAACTTATGAATGGTTCTAGGCCGACGGGCTTCCGAGTAAAATGGTTAGGCGAGACTTCTTTTGTGGCTGATGGCGGCCTGCAGAATGTTTCAGATCGCTATGTTGCCGGGTTTCCGTAAGCAGTTTCTTCTTTATTGTCTTTTCTTTTTCTTCTTTCTGATTCCATACCCCCCCCCCCCCCTCTTGATCACAGCTTTTGAGACCGACAGCCCAGAGTAACGAAAAAGTCGGTCTAGCTAACCTTCTGGATGGTTGTCAGTAAGCCAACGAGACCGATATATCGGTCCCATAGGCCTTCTGACAACGTGTTTAGGTTCCAGTCTGCCTCATGGGCTGCCGGATCTGTGTTACTTTAACTCTTTTCCCGACAGTGTATTTATGAAAGTGTTGAATAAACATACTTAAAGAGAAGGTCGAGTTCTGGGAAGAGGTGAAAAATTATTTGTGAGCATTATCATTGTATTAGGCTGATGTGGAAGAACATTATATAAATTTTGTTCCCTCAATATGGTATGTAACATCATAAAAATCGGGACGGAATTTATGCCACATATTCGTGTAGTCCCATATACATCTTTCTGTGTACAGTGCTTGTAACTTTACCACGGCTGGGCCAAATTTCTTATAATGTTGATGATTCCAGAACTTTGCAGTACACACCAATACTTATGCTATAGATGATCAACCTTTTCTGATCGATTCCATACCGTTTCTTTTACAATGCAATCGCATGACCAGAACTCAACTTTATCTTTAAACCTCGACACGTTGAACCTAACTTTTCAGGCTAGCCATTGCTACTATATAGACCCCGATTCACTCTTTCTATACTAGCTAACGTGCCAAAAGGAAGTAGTTTGATCATTGTTTATTACAAACACACAGTCATCATAATGGAGAGGTTGTCAGACGCCCATGAATATTCGGGTCATTTTTTTTCTCTCAATAATGCTCATGGACCACTTCCTTTTTCAGAAGACAGAATTATGGCTGTGCATCAAAAATACTATAAAATGTGAAAATGTTTCATTTAGATGTTATGATGAAAATTGTATTAGTTTATAAAAAGCAGTCAAACTATATCTTGTAAATTATCTTTAAATATACAGAATTAAGTAACAACAGTTACTGACCACCTAGCTCTTTGACAAGGAATATTGACTAGCATGTACGGTTTCTGTGTAGTTATTACAAATAAGGAGAGAAGATTCAGCAAGGAAATCTAGGCGGCGTTTCACGAAACCGTCATAAGTACAAGTTCACCGACAACCCAGTGAACTTCGTGTATCAAAATGAACCCGCGTTTCGATGGAATGTCGGTGAACGTGTAATCACTATGAACATGACAGACAAAGAAAGCGGACAAAATATACAGTTCCTCAGGTAGACAAAGGAACATCCCTTTACTGCTATTATGTAAAAAGGTGAATATGCATGTGACACCTGTTCTACACATTTTTACATAATAGCAGTGAAGGGATGTTCTTTTGTCTACCTGAGGAACTGTATATTTTGTCCGCTTTCTTTGTCAGCCATGTTCATAGTGAATGATGATGGTTTCGTGAAACAAGGGCCACATTGCTAATGAGTCAAGCTAATGTTGTGCCTATAGTCAAGCCGATAGACATGACTTGTATGACCATGTCACTATGAACATGACGGACAAAGAAAGAGGACAAAATATACATTTCCTCAGGTAGACAACATCCTTTCACTGCTATTATGTACAAATGTGTAGAAAAGGTGAATATGCATGTACACCTGTTCTACGCATGTTTACATAATAGCAGTGAAGGGATGTTCTTTTGTGTACCACAGTAATTGTTAAAGGTAGAATGGGGAACTGTATATTTTGTACTCTTTCTTTGTCCGTCATGTTCATAGTGTGTACATGACACAGGGTAGTTCTCGGCTAAGTTGGGCTAACACTGCATGAGCATGACAATATTTGATAACCTCTTTCAGCATACTTCACAACTTAGGGTTAGCAGCTGAGATGGAGATTTCTGTCTTCATCTACTGGAATTTACTTGTAGGTCCATACGGTCTAATCGATTCTCATAACAACACATACATACCGAATCCCGTAAGTATCCACAATTTCTTTATTCAATTATTTCATAATAATTCCATTTAAGATACCGTTCAAACAGATAAAATGCAAAGACGTACATAATTATTTAGAAATATATAGCTGCTTACACTTGTTTAGTAAGAAAGTTACAAACATGAGAGTGAAGGTGCAAAGAGAAGAAATTATGCAACAGAATATACACAGAAATAGATATAACAACGTTGGTAGCAGAAGAGCCTCGGTGGTTCTGTCGAGACATCAACTCTGCAAGCTTTTAACCAAAAAAAAAGTCGCAGTGATGATAACAAAAATGATGAAATATAAACGTGACCACGGGCTGATGGTGGCTTGAACAAGACTTCTTCTTCTTCTTCTTCTTCTTCTTCTTCTTCTTCTTCTTCTTCTTCTTCTTCTTCTTCTTCTTCTTCTTCTTCTTCTTCTTCTTCTTCTTCTTCTTCTTCTTCTTCTTCTTCTTCTTCTTCTTCTTCTTCTTCTTCTTCTTCTTCTTCTTCTTCTTCTTCTTCTTCTTCTTCTTCTTCTTCTTCTTCTTCTTCTTCTTCTTCTTCATCTTCTTCAAAATTGATATAATCTTATATATTTTATGAAGGAAAAAATGACCATTGTTTTGCTCAACGTCTGTCGCCACATGTGACCATCGAGAATTGTTTCCATTGGAAACACCATTTGGATAGTTCAAGAAAAAAATAGGATGATAAAATGTAGTAATTTAAATTAATTTCGGCAAGGAACATGTAGAAAATGAACACAGGCCCCTAAGCCCCCCTCCCCCGGAAAATACTTAGAAGCACACCTGATAAAATGTCACATTGTGTCTCTTCGATCAATTTGAGTCTATTCGGATGTTAGTTTTACCAACACGTTCTTTTATGGAATCCATCCTACCTTTCTCTCTCTATCTCTTCCCCTCAATTTCTCTTTTTAAATTATCTCTCTTTGGTTTTCTCTTAGTCGATTTCTCTCTCTCTCCCTCTCTCTCTCCCCTCTCTCTCTCTCTCTCTCTCTCTTTCTCTTTCTAGTCTCCTATAGTATGTCAAACTGAATAATCGTCAAACAAAACAATCAATATAATAAAGAGGGCATTCACAAATTTGAAATTCAACCAGCAATGATTTGAAACAAGTAGGCCTAGATTTAAAAGAATTTGATTTATGACTATGTTTCATGGAATTATTTGTTTATTTGTTTGTTTGATTTGTGTTTCACCAGCTGTATTGGGCTTTCCTTCTTCACAAGCGGCTTCTTGGCACCCATGTTCTATCTGTATCATATGCTCTTGACGGACACACTGGAGAGGATACGGAGGCCGAAAAGAAAAAGTCCTACGTCCACATTTTTGCTCACTGTACCCTTATATCGTAAGTATGAATCGGTTGCTGTTAAAGATAAACTCCAGTTCTGGTAAAAAAAAAAAATTCTCACAGAATCAAACGAAACTTACACTGAATGTTTAAGATTACAAATAAATGACATGTGTCAAACAATTTTTGAAGAAAATGTATACTGGCTGAGTATATAATGAGCATAGAAAGACAAGGAAATCAAGGTAGTACTAGCCCCGACACCATGTGTGTTGTCCCATATATAGCTTTCTGTGTACAGTGCTTGTTACTTTACCAAGACTCGGCCAAATTTATGATGATTTTGATGACTACAGAACCTTGCAGTGCACACCAATACTTACTTATGGGCGTGTGTGTGTGTGTGTGTGTGTGTGAGAGTATTTGTATGTTCTATATTCTGTAGCTTAGTATTTTCATCCATTATATAATCATAAATTATACGTAACATTCTTTTTACTGTAAATGTATGTATTTTGTTGACTATAGGGCCCCGCTCACAAGCTTAGCTTCTAAAGGGGTCCTAAAACCATTCAGTTTATGATGTAATTAAGTTAGAATATGTTGATTGATGTACTATTACCAGTCTCTTTTTTATGTAACAGATTATATCATGCTTTGTATGGTTTTGCATAAAATGAACTGAACTGAATTGAACATGCTACATGATCAACTGTTTCTGATCCATTCCACACCTTTTCTTTCACAATGCAATCGCATTACCAGAACTCACCTTTATCTTTAATCTTCTCTTAGCCTTTCTTCCGTATTCTAGTTATTACATGTACATGTTATTTTTTTAAATCCGACACTGGGTTAAAATCATTTTTTTACAAAAGAGAAACTTATTCCTCAGACTGGCTTCATTTGTGAAACCCGATTTTGTGAAGAAGAAAGAAAAGCCTATAAACCCAGTTTCGGATTTATATTAGGGAAATTCCAACTCTGTGACGTATTTTGCAAGGTCCCTTCTCATTTGCCCTGTACTAAAAAACTTCAGAAAGATTTCAATCTAACATTCACCCAAAATATAATGTTTACAACTAAAAATGAAAATTTATAGACTTTTCTATACAGAGCAAATTGGAGAGGAGATCGCAAGATACGTCTAAATGTTGCCAATTTGTTTTTCACTGATGACAACTTCAACATTTCATAACTTTCCTATTTGTAGTCGGATATCGCTCAAACTTTCACTAATTTGTTTCTCTCATTTTTCTGCTTTTATTAAAATCAAGATATTATCAGGGTTGACTTTCCCTTTACTATAATAAGGGCTTTTCATCCTTGTTCTTGGTCTACCAACTTTCTTATCAACCCATGCCCCATTACTGAACTTTGTTTAGCAGTTTATTCTTGTCTATTTCATTCAAATCTTACGCTGTACAAAAATGTGGGGTAAAATTTGGCCTATACATAATTATGTATCCAACCACCGAGGGGTAATTTCATTCCCGATTTGGATTTTTAAAAAATCATAATCATTTTTACCTCTTGTTACCCTTCTTTCCTCTTCTCTTTTTTTCCTTTTTTCTTCTTTATCCCTTTCTCATCCTCCCCCACTCTATTTTTTTTCTTTCTTTCTTCGTCCTCATCACCTACATGTTTTCATAATTCCTACCCTTATTCCCTTCCATTTTACATCCTCAAAGCGCACCCCTTCTCCTTGTCATCTGTAGCCTTCCCATCGATTGTTTTTACTCCCACTCTTCTTCCATTTCTCCTTCTCCATTCTCTTATCATTGGCACTTCCGTCTTCCTCTTCCTAAATGCCTTTTCTTATCCATGTTTCTGCCTGATGGAAAGTCTACACAATGTTAGCTGGTTATGGAGGCGCAATGACTCAGTCGTAGAGCCGTTGTCTCGTAACCCGGATATCCCTGGTTTCCTAACCAAATCAATGCAATATAATGCCCTTTGGTAATGCATTACTCCTCATTAATGAGTTCCATCAGAGAGGACTTAAAGCCGTCGGTCCCCTGATTGCTCACTTGCAAGCATACACATGCTTTCTTAGCAGTTAAGTAGAGCAATCCCTCAAACCACACTTGTTAAATTTTACCTCAAATCCTCACTATCTTTAAAGGGGAAGTCCACCCTGAAATTAAGTTAGGTTTAATAGGAGTAGAAAAATGAGAGAAACAAGTCAGTGAAAGTTTGAGCAAATTCCGATTAAAAATAAGGAAGTTAGGATTTTTGAAGTTGTGATCAATCAAACACAAATTGGCAACTCTATGACGTATCATGCGAGCTCAACTTCCATTTGCTCAGTACTAAAAATATCTAAAATTTTCATTTTCCCTCAAGAAAAATTTCAACCATACATGCACCCTAAAGAAAATAATTGCAAATATGTTTCTATACTCCCCCTGCAAGGAACAAATATATATTCCGTCATCAATAACGAAGAAAACATGATTTTATGGAATATTATGCACAAAGCAAATGAAGGAGAGCTCGTATAATAAGTCACAGAGTTGCCAATTTGTATTTGATTGATCACAACTTCAATAATTCATAACTTTCTTATTTTCATTCAGAATTTGCTCAAACTTTCACTCACCTGATTTTCTTATTATTCTGCCTCTATCGAAACAAACTTATTTTGGGGGTGGACTTTCCCTTTGATGTTCTTTCCTATTATAATTATGCAGCCCATTGTATCCAGCCGGAGCTGTTACAATGATGGTATTAAATCTGCACAACGACAGTGAAGCATCTCTGCACTTGACCGGGGACCTAGTTAATAAGACTGTATACGAGTATCTCCTGACACCACCTGGGGGAGACCTTACCAGCAAGTAAGTTATATTTTTCAATTTTTTTTAATTTAGGTTTTAATTCCACATTAACTGCATATGAAAAGAATTTACAAAGTAAGGCATAGACATTTCAATATTTCAATATTACCGTATCCATATATGACTGTATAAATAGACAGTTTCTGCATTTTGATATGTATTATTGATTTCTTAATGCGTATGTTGTTATTATTATGTTCTTATTTAATGTACTTTCTCTATTAATGTGTCCTATCACATCCTTCTCACTATGACTGTATAAACAGACAGTTTTCTGCATTTTGATATGTTTTATTGATTTCTTAATGCATATGTTGTTATTATTAAGTTCTTATTTAATGTACTTCCTCTATCAATGTGTTCTATCACATTCTTCTCACTTTGATTACTATGTATTTTAAATTTGTCTATAAATCGATAATAATGTCTCCCAATTTGGATAACTTTCAATCATCAATAATAATTTTCCATAATTTGGATAACTTCAAATCAAATCAACTCAAATTCATAATGTTATACAGTTTTGCTAACTTCCAATATTACCGTATCCACATGACTGTATAAACAGACAATTTTCTGCATTTATCATACATGCATAGTTTGAACAGCTTTTTTTCGAATCCTTCTTTAAAATAATCCTAACAGTATTTGATCTACATGTATATTACCGTTAGTTTTAGTTACACATTCATTTATAAATTATGTTGACCTTATCTTTATATTTTGTTTTATGTATGCACCAGCCAATGTGGAGAGCCTCTCGACAGAATTTTTAAAATTCTTTTAGGTGATCCTCAGGCATTGGCTGGTGCTAAATATCATTATGTTGACAGTATGTTCTATCATTTGTTAACCTTGTGATGTTTTGTATGTTATCATCTTGCCTGGAAATGAAATAAATAAATAAATAAAAAGACAAGGTAACAAAACATGTACATATATTCAATAGATACAACAGTAACAAAATGATTTAATGGCATTAAAGTCATTAAATACAAATGATGCTAACAATAATCTGCAGTAATGAGGAGGAAACCTTGGAAGCATTATGTTTGTAATTAAGGTTCCCTTTACATAATTCGTTTGTTACATAATATATAAAACAAAAAACAAGACAAAAGAAGAACACAAACGGGTGTGTGGTGCATGATGATCATGATGACCTTTTTCATACTGAAGTAGAAGTTTATGTTTTAAGTGATATTTAAAAGTAATTAAACTTGGCAGCTGTTTAAGCGACATGTCCAAGGAGTTCCAGTACACCGGACCAGTATAAAGCAAAGTTGTTTTTTAAGTAAAAAGGGGTTATTTTAATACTACCATATGAAGACTATTTGGAAAACTATATTTTTGATATCCTAAATTCCAATTTATTCCTGAGAAGCTGTATTCTTTATGGCTTTACACGACTTCCCTCTTTATTACTGGTACCATGCTTGTGTGTGTGTTCACAGATATGAGACAAGTCTTTTTTTTCAGAAGCATAAAGGAATACATTTTCTGAAATAAAATCTATATAACAAATATAGACCGGGGCAGCGTTTTATGAAGAATGTCACACGTATAGTCCACTGACATGCCGTTCAAAAGGGTGTGTGTTATTTAACTCGTGTCGGTAAACTTATTATGACGGTTTCGTTTAATAAAACTTTTGCGGCATCGGCATCTTCCATTTTTCAGCGTAAAATTCCAGGTTCAGGAAAAAAAACTGAAAACGGTAGCTTTCTTATTCTAAAAAATACTACGCCGTTGAAAGCAACTGCGGCACGTGGTCAAATATTATGTTTGACGAAGCTCAAGGAGCTCAAAAGGTTGCGTCAACACGTGCTATGCCACTAATTGGTTTTGCCATTGAACTTTCAACACATTTTGTTCAATTCAAATATAACAGAACCTCGATATTTTAGTAAATTTGATATCTAAATGTATATCTTTGTTTAGATTCATGAAAGAAAGTACTTATCCAAGTAAGGTTACATTTACGCAGATGTTACCCTAAATATAACGAATGCCTGAGGAAGCCCTTCTATGGGAAAGAGTGACATTTGAAATTTGTGTTATCAAATAAGCAGACAAGCAAACAAATTGGTTATTCACCTGCCATTTTGATGTTTCCATCTGAAAGTGACTAAAATAATCATGAAAGGGAATAATCAAATTCTCAGGTTATTTAATTTCTTCCGAGTTTGATCTAGTTTCCCGATTGTTTATTTTGTCAGAGCTACCTTATAACACCTCTTTTCTCTATCCACTCTTTTCCTCAGGAATACCACTCTCAACGGTCACCTGTTAAAGATGAAGAACTCCACACATTTTCCAGATATTCTTCCACGCCCTCTACCGGTGGGATCACCTATAGTTCTTCCGCCGGAGACGTACGGTTTCTACGTCATCAGGGATGCTAATGCTCCAGCATGTCGACATAACTGAGACCAAACATTGATAGAGAATACGAAAAGCAAACCGAAAAAAATATCACTCATCAATATTGACTATATTTACTCCTAAACGCGTGTAGGCCTATTCTCGCATAGTGCACATGTAATATATCACTTTTTGTGAATCTAATCGCTCCTTTCCTCTTTACATTTGCAATATACATGTATATGAGTAATTCTATAAATTAGTGACCCAATTTGTGACATGTTGGTGCCCCTGTTACGTAAGGAACCCATACGTATTTGTGGCTCTGAGTAAAGACTTAAATAGTGGAGTATAATTGTTAAAGTGCGGGTTCATAGAAAATCACAAATATGGCAAATATCGTATTACTAGAAACTGGTATGCTAACAGATGGCTATCATGCAAGTTTTAGGTTAACTACATATCGGGTGATTTATAAAAATACAAATCAAACAACCTCCATAGCATCTGGGATATGCGAGAGATTCGCCAGAAAATAACAATGTTTTAATGCCGTCACAATATGAACCAACCCTGCCCAAGCAGACGACATCCCATAAAGAATGAACATAATTGCAATGCTTTTATTTCTCAAATTATAATGAGTTTAGTCTATATAAATGTGATGGAATCTTACACCATTCAAAAAGGGATATGACCCCCATTCTGATAACTAAATTCTTTTGTTTGTAAATACACAGGATAGGAGTTAATGAACAATCAAAGAAACCACACTGTCAAATTAAAAAACCTCCGGAATGATAGCATGGACGTCATTTGTTCCCTCTTGAAACGCCGAACATGCTGCGGTGTGTGCAGCTGAAAATACAATGGCGTCTTATTTTGTTTACAAGCGACGGATTCCTTTTTTTGTTAATCCTTGCATTTTTCATCAAAATAATACCATGCACAGGGTTTAGAGTGAGGTAATAGTTTAAAAATTTCGCCTGAGGGCATTGAAGTAAGAGAAACTAGTGAAGAAAATATGACAAAACAGGCACTAAAATTGTGTGAGATGTCATGGGACATCGTCTGCTTGTGCACATCATGTTCAACATGTGACGTCATATCTCAGCAGCGACCTGAGAGCTTTTCAGGTGCTATGTCAGGGCTGTATCTAAGCGTTTTGTAATTGTTAATAATCATTACTTCAAATGTTTCCAAGCATTGCCTTTTGATAACCTTGGCCAATCAAAGTGTCACCTTTGCAATAATGACATTAAAGTTAGTTTTTTAAATCAATGAACCTTCTCTTTAAAGAGAAGGTTGAGTTCTGGGAAGAGGTGAAAAATAATTTGTGAGCGTTACTCATTCGTATTATATGCAAGTGTGGAAGAACATCAGATAAGACATGTTCCCTGAAAAGCATGGCTCTTCAAATGCCTTCATATTCTAAATGTGCATGTAACATCGTAAAAATCGGGGGGGGGGCGGCTTTTTACGCCACGTGTTCGTGTAGTCCCATATACATCTTTCTGTGTACAGTGTTTGTAACTTTACCAAGACTTGGCCAAATTTCTTATCATTTTGATGATTCCAGAACCTTGCAATGCACACAAATTCTTATATGCTAGATGATCAACCTGTTCTGGTCGGTTCCACACCGTTTCTTTCACAATGCAATCGCATGACCAGAACTCAACTTCAGCTTTAAGTGATTCTAGGTATAGGGATGCAATATTATGCTTGGAAATCACTTTTAACCACTATTTAAGTCTTTACTCAGAGCCACAAATACGTGTGGGTTTCTTATGTACTATAGGGACACCAAAGATGTTTCAAAGTGGGTCCCTGATTTATGGAATTACCCATACATGTAAAACAATGGATGATCAATAATTATTTGGCCTACTTCCTTCCCTCATTTCCTTTCTCGTTTGTTTGCCCTTTCACCTTTTCTTCTCTCTCTCTCTCTCTCTCTCTTTCTCTCTCTCTTTCTTTCTCTCCCTCTCTCTCTTTCTCTCGCTCTCTCTTTTCACCTTTCTACACACCTCGATCACATTCTTTCCTCGTACATAACTCTCCTTACCTTTGTTGAATTCATTTCTCCCACTTCCTGATTTTAACTTTTGTTATTAAATTTGTTTAAATTCTTGGTTTTCGTATGTGTAATGTTGCATATTGTAACAACAGTAATGTATATCGATTTATATTTACTTCTATTTGTGTACGCTTTTGTATCCATTCATGACCATGATGTAAAACAGACTTATTATTTACATCCGATTTTTCTTATATTGGTTAATATGTTTTAATAGAAATTAAACCTTCTAATATATGATATCAAAAATTGTCCTTTTCCATGGGGGTAAGGCATTTTTATTTTTGTTTTGTTCAAATGGCGGTGTGCATGTATTGGTATAAGAAAACCTAAAAGAAATTTGACACAAAGTGCCGTGAAAATAAAGTGAAATTATATTTTTCTCTTTATAAAAACAGAAGCTGATAGCTTGTTTTGTCGCATGTTATATAATTAAACACCCCCTCCCTCAATGGCTAGACCTCCACTACAACACTGAGCAGAATAGTTGAGAATACAATTCCAGATCCGCCTCCCCCCCCCCCCCCCCAACAACAACAACATCAACAAAAATGACGGCACCTGTGTTGTGTCCAGAATTTTTTTTATTTTTATAATATAACCATCCAACCAATTAATCGTCATGTCAGAATGGAATAAATAAGATGCTTTTTAAACCCGAGTTACATGAAATCAACGATTCCCACATGAGAATAAACATCAAGAATGAATTATAGCTATTTACTCACTCGCCTAATCATAATAGATTTCTGTTCAACTTCCAAATGTACTTTTTAAATATGCAGGAGTGGTCACCCAGTCTTTTATGATTCGAATCAGGGATCACTGCGTTGTGGAATAAAAATCCACTCTCAAAAAAGTGGAATCCACTTTTAAGAGTGTAGTTCAAGTTGGCATGGTTGAAGTGGATTCAACTCCTATAGGCCTAATGCCTCAGTCACACCTTTGCGTATTTGGCTTGCGTATTGCTGCGTATTTATGGCAAGCCGTTTTAACATTTATTCCTATTTCTTGATATCAAGAAATGATTTTCTGTTGTAAAGCAAAGGGAATTCTTGATATTATCAAGAAATAGGAATAAATGTAAAAACGGCTTGCCATAAATACGCAGCAATACGCAAGCCAAATACGCAAAGGTATGACTAAGGTATAACAAAGTGATCCCTACTATATGACTCCTAAAAGCGTGTGTTTCCACTTCCTGAGAGAGTAGAGTCAAACCTGTCTACTAAAGCCACCCAAGACAAGCAGATATAGAATGACCACTGAAGACAGGTGGCCTTTCTAGACACATTCTTCAACATCCATTCCTTTCAGGAGGTGGACAAAATACACGGCCAGTTAAGACGGGTGGCCTTATAAGAGAGGTGGTCACTGAGACAGGGTTGACTTTGTATAGGCCTACTGCTAAACGAAAGGCGATTCCGAGAAGGATTCTATATTCTTCAAAAATGACAGTTTAGCTTTGAAAGAGGACATGCATGGGCCACTTGTTATTTTATAGTTATCATTATTAATGGTGGTCTCTTGAATTTTCGGTGGTTGTCAACTTTTTTTCTTTTTTTCAATTTCAATTTTGTTTTTTCTTTGCCACCCATAAATACCACTTCCCAAATGCATTTTTGACTTAAATTTTTATTCCAGTACACGTCTGATTGTCGACAGTACTACTGAGTTACTAGCATTTTCTAGAATAGAAATATGATTATTTGAATCGTGATTGTGAATTTTTCATTTATTTACCAACAGCAAATAAGTTTAATACATTTCTTACAATAATATTTACATATACAAGAAGAAGAACAAATTTGGTTGGTAAAATTTGATTAAATTGTTGAAGAAACGAGTTGAGGTTTTGTGGCTCTAACATGATCACTGGCATGCTGGAGCCTGGGCACGAGGAAGCACATAGAATCCGTAGGATTGCTGCGGTACCACGATGGTGCTTCCAGGCGGCTGCTCCCGGGGTGAGTAAGATGGTAGTGTGAGGTCGTCATCCATCTTCAGAGGGTGCCCGTTGAGCCTCACTTGTCTGATGTACAAGCAAACAAAACACCAAAGAGCAGATGAACACAGCAGCAAGTTCGAGTAATGAAGTATTTGATAATAATTATAGTTATACTAACGATAATGATAATAATGATCATATTTATGATAAAAAACAATAATGACAATTATAATAATAATGTTAATAATAATGTAATGCATTATTGTGACAAATTATTTGATTGCACTGTGGTGAAATCGCGCCATCCATTCTACGAATGCCTGATGCCAGCCCCCAATCAAAAGAATTCCATGGAACATTACTTTTTTTCTTTAATTTTGAAGGTAACCGTTGATGTCTCAACCCCTTCCATGATGTTATCTCAACAAGAATATCAGTCGGTCGTCTGGGAGTTTAGTGGGGGTATTAAACACGTCATAATGAAACAAATACCATTCAAAAACATACTAAAAGTAGCATTACGTACAGATAGTAATGGCAATGATTAATAATTGCATTATTATTGAATCGAATTGAATAGAGAACTTCCAGTAGTCTATCTCGGGAAATGAAATTAAGAATTTCATGGGATGCTTCTTGTAAAAATATATTCTGCTTTTCTATTGTTTCTCTTTTCTGTAGAGGTAAATGTTAGTCAACCCACCCCCCCCCCCCCCTCCCCTCCCGTTCCTCCAAAGCGAATTGGCCATGGGCCCGGGAATACGGGGAACTTTTGAGCCGCTTTATAATTTGACTGCAGGACCAATAGGTTCCAGTTGCATCCAAATCCCCCAATCGAATGTCAGTGCCAGTCTGCCTCTAACCGTCTCCATCCAAAATGTTTGTGATGCTCCTCAGTGACGGATTTGGGTGGGGGGGGGGCGCACATCCGGCCCGTGCCCCTTTTTGAAGCCCAAGTGACACACCTTAAATATACAACTCAAAGACTACCCCCCCCCCCCCCCACGCGCCCCCGGTCCCCACCACTCCCGCGCTTTTGCTTCTCATTTTTGTTTGGTATTACTTGTCTTAGAATTTTTTGAAAAATCATAGTGCCCCCCACCCCCTCCCACCCCCCCCCCCCCCCCCCTCTTTTACAACACGTTGTATGCTCCCCTGATACTCACGGTGATAAGATCCCTTTCGTGCCCTTCGGCAAGAAGAGGTACTCGTGGATGGGAGAGTCAAGTAGGGCGCCCTCAAGGTGGATGTGAACGTCATTGATGGGTACCATATTGATGATCATGAAGGTCACCGAGCCTGGCTGATACAATGTACTTCACACGAAAGGAAGGTAGGAATAAAAGATAAGAAGAAGGAGAGGGGGTAAATAAGTGGCGGGTGTAAGATATCACTAAGAAAATGAAAATGAAAATGAAAAGATTTGAACCCTCATCCCTTGAATTGAAAGTTGAACTACTATATACCACGATACCTCAATCAATAGTTAACACAATAAAATATGTCAAAATATACCCGTACGAAAACGATATCATTATACATTTTAAAAGCAATACAAAATGAAAAGCTGAGAGTATTAAACATCGCACTGGGAACTGACAATCACGTAAAAGTTCAGACTCACATATACTCAAAATTTTGAAGGAGGGGTTGAAAAATATTTCATGTATTTTAAACATTTATTTATTTATTTTTTAAAATATAAACTAAAAACAAACACGGGTTTGACTTAATGAACGGGTAAAACATTTATCAAAAACTGAAATGTAAGGTGGGCCCAAATTTCAAAGGAAAATTTCACTTTTTGATACCAATTAGACCATAAACTTAAGTAATACTTTCCAATTACATTTCTTGGCATATATTTCAATGCACGGCAATTCAACCGACCCTCTTTAATTAAAATTGTTTTAAGCTACATTTAATTAGAATTATTCAGGAAGTACTAGCAACAAAAATAAACCCATGTGATTTACCTTGTTTTCGTACAATGAGCGTATATGCGGATATAATTTGAAAAATCGTCATCTGGTTTGTTCTTGGCGTTTTCTTCACGTGACGTCCTGACTTTTGTAGAAACGACTTTGGAGACGTCTAAGACCCGAGTTCCCATGAGCCTCTTGTGATATAACAGGAGCCAATAATACTGAAGATAGACGAAATACAAATAATAATTGATTTGCATAGGATAAGTTTCAACAGTACTGAATAAATTCCACATGATAAGATGAGCTTTCAAAAGAAGTAATAATTTTGCAAGTATATATTTGCAAGTATATGTTTTATGATACTTCTGAAAACGTTCGTTTTCATTACGCGTTTGTGCTGGAAGCTGGAAACGGGGAGGGGCATGCACTGGCGATGGGAAAGGGTCGTCGTATTCATGTGTGTGTCATGTGTGTTTCTGTGGTAGATATGACCTGCAGTAACTAGGGCACCTGCTAGATCAAGCTTATTTCTAACAAAACTATGGTGCAGAAATGGCGATATATTTAGCGAGTGGAAGCTATGGAAGCCCCAGGAAGTATGCAAAAAGTTTGAACAACAACTGTAGTCGACGTGATTTATTTTGAGGTAACTAATTGTGTTCTAACATACAAGATAAGTTTTAAGTTACCGTTATAGATTATGAAGGCAAGATGGTTGCGATTTTACGGACGAGATACACATGACTTCAAAACACCAGCAATAAGGAATACAGATCTAACGGATATTGTATAGGCCCACAGACATACAGAATGTGAATTATACAAAATACACGAGCAAGGGCAATTACACTAAGCATACAAACTGTAAAATAGACAGATAACAGAGCAATAAACGGGCAATAGACGAACAAGCAGAAAAACGCACAGACTGGAAGACAGGTCCATGGTCTTACTAAATGAGGGTTGAGAGATTCGTCGAATAACCCTCCCGTCCTACCAATCAGTCCTTGGTTGACGACCAGATCTACCCCTAGACGTGCTGACAATCCAAGCTTATCCAGAAACCTGTAATTTCATGGGCCAAATAAAATACGGCAATCATTGTACAACACATGCCCCCGAAGACACTTTTCTCCGTGGTTTATTTCTAATAATGTAATCATAGTCAAATCCGTCAACCATTATATATGCCACCGTCGGTCACACTTTCAGTAGCTTCATTTTGTTCCCAGCCACAGGACCCAGACAGCACGTTATCTCAAGGAGTTACCTAAAATCTTACTAAGCCTAGTTGTCAACTATAATATAGCTGACGACTAGTTTGGTGAGCAGAATGTTTCATAAATATAGGCCCCGTTAGAGATAATCTGCATATAAATATATTCGGGATAGGAGAAGAGAAAGAACGACAAGAACAGGAAAACGATCAAGATCAAGAACAAGAACAAGGATACGAACACGAACAAGATATCAGATGACATTGTTCAGCTGAAGGGCAAGAACATGGAAATGTGAAGAAAAGGAGACAACGTCATAAAAGAAAAGGAGAAGAAAATAGAAAGGGAGAAAGGCTAGAGAGAAACAGAAAGAGAGAGAGAGATAGATAGATAGATAGAACAGAGAGAAATGTATGAAATAAGATAGGGGAGGAGAGGGAAGAGGAAAGAGGGGAGGAGAGATGGGGGGAGTGAGGGATATAATATTAAAAAAAAGGATATAACATGGCACTGTAAGCAGGATGGGAGCATTTAATTCAAAGGACATGATGGGATAACAAATTGTAGTTTCAAGATTTTCCCTCATACTGTATTACTTAGACTTTGATATTTGAAGCGAATTTTGTATATCCATTAGCCATTCCCAGATTAAATAGTTAATATTTAGTAGAGTTATAAATAATACATGGGAACAAAAAACCAAAAACAACCATCATAAGTCATTGAATGATATGATATTACTGGTTTTTGCTTAAAGACCGTCAATACTACTGGGCCAGAAGGGATTAGACCACACAGCGAGGTCACTGACAGGTGGCTATCTCATTAACTCAGCTCTCAACTAACATAAGAAAAAGAGGATCATGGGGGACCAACAGGCACCGATTGGGGAAGTTTTTTATATAGAGGGAGCAAGTAGCTACAAGTAGGACAGTGGGGCTTTAAGAGAACTACGAGGAGAAGGAGACGATTCTTACAGCATTCCGTCAACGTAGACATTGTTCAAATCTTGTGGGCCAGAACCAAAACAGACACCTGATTCTGTTATCCATATCTTCGAATTTGCGCTGTACTTCTTGACAGAGTTTTGCACGCTCTGGATATTTAATAGCAGCAGATCAGCAAGACGAGGATCAGTGAGTTCCCTGAATCCAGCTACTCTGCCGCTGGCGTAGTAGAAGTGGAACGACGTTATATTGGTGGCATTTCCAACTCCTTGGAGAAACCTGTAATTATGATGAAGATGACGATTACAACAACAACAACGTCAGTGATAGTAGAAACAATGATGATGATGATGATGATGATGATGAAAACGACATTAATGATAGTAAAAATAATGATGACAATGATACGAAAAAGAAAAATCATGATAAGGATAATAGTAATGACTATAATAACAATAATAAAGAAAATAATAATGATAATAGTAAGAAGTAGAAGAAGAAGAAGAAGAAGAAGTCCATTGCCATGCAGGTACATTTAAGCATGTACACCTAATTGGAGAGTGGCAAATGTTAATGTCTTGCCGAAGGACGTTATCAGCTTCATACATGTAGCTTCGAAATACACTGGTTTACTAACATTTTCAAATTGTATGCATACACTTTAAACAAAGGTTGTTCTTGACAACCTGAAAGCTAGCCCGACATAGCAACAAGTAATATATGCAGAATGGATTCCGAGTATTGCAGTTCATTCATTGATAAGAGCTTAATGGAATAACTCGTCACTAAACCTGTAGTTTCCCTGGAAAGGAACATCCATTTTGAATAATTATGTTAGTAAACCGGCCTATTGAATTAGCAAATAAAACAAATCAAATGGAATCAAAAGTAATTTTTTTAAAGGATGACTTACTCATTCAGATATGAGGCACTTGGTGAAGGTATTGATGAGGTATTCTTTATAGGAGAAGACGTATCCGGACCGACAAGGAAGATATCCGTCAGTTCGGGTATTTGGGAGACCGACTTTCGAAGAGTGTGATACGCATCAGCCATTTGTGTCGCGGTCACGTTCACATGGGCCTTTCTCGGATATCCGTAGGGCTCTGAAAGGACAAGTCAAAGTTCACTCTACTTCCATGGTTCAGATTAGAACATAATAGATTAGAACAAAATAGAAAAACAACAGAACAGAATTTGTCGCTAAATACAAATTCTACACTACTTGCGGTAGGTTTCTGCCAAATGATATGTTAAAGCCCCACCGCACTAGTTTGGCCAGGAGGGATTAGACCTCCTTGCATGGTTACTGACAGGTTGTTATCTCATCAAATAAGCTCCAATTAACATTAAAAAAGAGGATCATGGGGGACCAATGGTCACCGATTAGGCATTGTTTGCTATATAGAGGGCGATAGTAACTATAAGTAGTGCAGTGGGGATATTGAGTACTGTAACATATCAACCTAATATATTTGAAAGCAGCAGAGTTGTGGATTAATCAGGTTCGTTGAAAAGGGGGGCTTCGACTTATGAGACCCTTACCATGTCATAATTTCTCTCGGCAAATCTTTAATTGTCAGAGCCGGCGCTGCCGGTGTCAAGGGGTACAGTGCCCCCACCCTTTTTGTAGGTACCCCAGTAATAAATAACCCCTTCTGAATCCGATAAGTGCCCCATTATTTTTCTATATGAGTACCATTTTATTTCAAATAAGATCCCAATACCAAATCAAATGCAATGCTTCTACTCCTTTCATTTCGCAATTGTCCGTGTGATTCTGAGAATGCAGACATATAGTGTCTTATAAAAAAAAAAAAATTTATTAAACATCATAGAATAGATATTCCTTACCGTTTCCAAGGGCCCATAGAACCGGATAGCCCCTCTGTTTGGTGTACTTGAGAAGATGAATCGCACCCGTTGGATCCCAAGAAGACCCGTTCCGATCCAGGGCATTAAGGGTAAATAATACATCCCAGCCGACGGATCGGGCAAACTCATTGATGTTGTCCCATGTATGTGCTTTATACCGAGGAATCAAATTGAAAAGGGAATAGAGAAGATTGTGAGTGATCAGCCAGGCAGATACCACAAGACCACCACAAAACTACCCCAAAAGTCATACGATGTGATTTTCAGTTGGAGTTTGAAGATTTGAATGCACTAACTAATTAGGGCAGTGTTTGTCGATCCATTTTATCTGATTTTGTGTGTGTTATAGCAATCGTAATTTCTTCCCAAGGGTTTCACTTTAATCTTCTGTAACTTTAAAATAGGTGACGCTCTTGTTTTGATACTTGGTCAAAATAGAGAACTGTTTAATTAGTGTGCCAAGTTCTAAACCAATCTGATAATCCCTTCTTAGAAATGTCCATGGAGTTCTAGACTACATCTGTCACGGTGGTAAGCGCTTTATAAGTAACGTTTTTATTATTATTATTACACAACTATTTGGGCGTCAGAATGCTTAATAGACTACATACGTAAAAATACCTCTCATTTCACCTAAAGCCATTGGGTAAGTAGCAAATATGTAGCTCAATGCCGGTCATATAATTATGTGAACAAATTATGATATTTTTTTTAAAATAATGATCCAATATAATGTAGACGTACTTTGAACAAATAAACTGAAGTAGGTCATAATCATGCTCTCATTAATGTGTGCATTGTGTGAAATATGTCTAGACGAAGACTTTGTACTTTGAAGTTCAAGATTATGTTCTTCCCCTGAGTAGGTACAGAAATCATGATTTATTACGCGTTAAACTGAACACCTACCACAAAGTGTCATATTGAAAAATGTTAACTTTCCGTAATTTCCCGACTGCCTTTCGCCTTCGGAATCCGGGTCTAGGGTACAATTTACAGGATTTATTTTTTCTTTGAAGACCGTGAAATCAGCCTCTGCACCACCCAGACGGTAGATGGCGGGAGATAAACCATGAGCGAGGGTCCAAAAACGGGTTGAACTGTAAAAATACATGTAAGTATTATATTAACCCCTTTATCATAACATGACACAAGCAATTAATAAAAAGCTGTAATTTAAAAATGTGCAAAATATAGAGGACGAAGAAGCATTCGGTGGTGTTGATAGTAGTGGTTTTGGTAGTATTACTTATAACAGGAAAAAAAATATTATTCATAGTAATTCATAATTAAAATCCAAATGTTTTTCAAAAAATTGACTCTACGTAGTGACGGTACGTAGTTGCTTTTGTATTTTCAATTCGATTTTTTTTTAAAAAGACAATGATTGTTTTTAAAGTGCGGGAACGTTAACTATACTATATCTCAACACATAAAAACGTATGGAAGAATTTTTTTTTTAGCTCTCTATCATAATTTTCGTAGCTAACTATAGGGGGTAATTTGAACATCTGTAGGTATATTCTTTCCTCATTTCTTTAGATGGTGAGAAATGCATATTTCCCCCTTCCCCTCCTTCTACCCAAGAAAGACATCTTGATCATACTTACTTGAAATGTTGTCCCCGTGAGGTTCTAATGAATCCCATGGTCGCACCAATCGATATGAATCGCTCGTCGACTGTTGTTACTGACGTGGTCGTATTCACTGAAAGCACGACTGATGGGGGACCTTCATGTAGCTCATGAGAACCTAGAAGACTTCGGGAATACAGAAATGTAACAATGATAATAATAGTCTGGCGCGTACGCAGGGGGGTGGGGGTGGAGGTTAGCCCCCCCCCCTCCTCCAAAAAAAAAAAAAATGTTTGTTAAAGGAGGCAAGAACAAAAAAGTGATAATAAAAAAAAATGTGATAATATATTATTATTATTATTAAAGGTAAAGACCAGTATTGGAAACGCCCCAATTTCAAAAAATAAAATGGAAGCTCTCGTTACCAATCATGTGAAAGAATATGTTTTGACTAATACATGATGATAAAAAATTTGCCGGGAAACCGCCTACTAATTCATATATTTGGTAAATTTGTTTCTCTCATGGTCTGTGAGAGATATAGGGTAGTCCCATATACATCTTTCTGTGTATAGTGCTTGTAACTTTACGAAGAATGGGCCAAATTTCTTATCATTTTGATGATTCCAGAACCTTGCAGATGCTAGATGCTAGATGATCAACCTTTTCTGGTCGATTCCACAACGTTTCTTTCACAATGCAATCGCATGACCATTACTGGTCTTTATCTTTAATAAACCGGTCTTACTATTGGGAAAGGTTGAATATGTCGTATGTAAGATTTGATGAAAACTTGTTCATTTTATTTTGCATCATCAAAATGGTAAAATAGCGATATGCACTGCACACGAAGATGGGTATAAAGGACCACACAAAGCGTGCAAATTGGTCCAAACTTTTCAGCTATTTTTCATCATACACTGTATTTCGAATAGGGGAGAAGTTGAAGGGAATCCATTTTCAGGGAACCTTTCTTCTTTGACAATTTTCCTCACTGAGCTGAAAAGAATAAAAAAGCTCACGAATTATTTGTGCACCTTAACCAGAACTCAACCTTCTCTTGATTTAACCTGTTGACTACTGAATTCTCTCATCCCCATATGATTAATACATGCAACACCATGCAGGGGAGGGGGGGGGGTGTTTCACAAAGATCCCAAGTCGAACTTAACTTTAGGTTGGACTTTAATATTATGGAGAGCCACTTGTAGCCTTAAAATTAAATATATTCAAAAGCAAAAAACAAATATTTTAGACTTTTTATAAATTCCACATCAAGAACATGAAATCTCCTTGATGATAGAAAATATGAATGATTTGAATCATCATTTTATGACATTTAAAATAACTTTTAAAAAATATTTTCATAGATGCTAACGGCTTTCCATAATTTTTAAGTCCAACTTAGAGATAAGTTCAACTTAGGATATTTGTGAAACACCCCTCAGTTCCAGTAGGCAGTGCGAAAGATTTATCTGTTTGATGTACCTGTATGTATCGGTAGCGAAGAAGTGTCGTTTACTAGGCTCTCTCACAATCGCACGTTCATTAGAGCCCATCATCACCATCGTCATCATCATCATCATCACTACCAGCGACATGGTTGCCATTGTTACACGCCCAACGACCATCTTCAAGCTACCTCTGTCCATCGTCATTTCTCTGTTTGGGCGATTCAATTGGTTTTCTTTTTTTTTTCCGTAAAAAAAGATATATGTATATACTGTACATATACATATCACATATCAATTATTTAACAGACGACTGAATTGCTCTAGTCTAAATAATTCAGGGCTAGTATTCTGTTCTTCATATAGGCCATAGCATAGGGAGTATTATCGAATAAACAAAGTTTACAAAATCTATGACCCTAGCTGTTAGAGGCGCATCATAAGTATGATACCTCGAATTAATGCATAGTAGATATTTTGTATTAATGCGATCGCAAGTACTTTCAAGATATCAACTCAAGCATGTCAAGGGCAATTTTTATCGTCAAGGACCATTTTCGTAATGTAATCAAATTTAATACATGAATCTCTGTTAAGTGCCTCGTTACAAATGATTTCATTAACCTGTTACGAATAATTGTATATTTCAATAGTCAGAATGCGAATTGCATACATTCCATGTTTTTAGGTAGGACAAGCCATAAACATATTAATCCTACCTAGTAAAAATCAATCTATACAAATTGCATTCTGACTGTTGAAATATAATTATTTGAAGGTCTACCGTGGTGTTCATGTTTGTCCCAAATAAATGAAGATTGATACTGTTTTCACACTGGCAATATTTTGCTTAACCCCGTACTATAGGTGGGGTTAAGGGGGTCTTAGCCCCACCTATAGTACGGGGTTAAGCCTATTCCACTTTCTGTTCAGACTGGTTTTTACCAAAGTGGGCTAAAGTTAGCTAACCCCACCTATAGTACGGGGTTAACTAACCCTGCAAAATAGCAGGGCTAACTCCGCAATTGTGGTGCTAACTCCTGCTAACCCCGCAATTGCGGCGCTAAGCAAATGAATGAGAACAGAAACGAAAAATAGTCCGGTACTACGCAATGGAGCGTATCGCAGCTGGCCAGATGCGAAGTATGTCCAATCATAACATACACGATATCCGGGGTTAACGAAATGCAGTGAGAACAGCGGGAATTTTCTTATTCCGGAATAGGCGCTAGTACGGGACTAAAAACAGCGAGTGTGAAAAGCCAAAAAAATAGTCCGGGGTTAAGGATAGTACGGGGCTAAGCAAAGTACGGGGTTAAGCAAAACCAGTGTGAAAAGAGTTACGTAATATTTGTAAAGCGCTTTCACGTTTCAAAAGATTATCTCCCTTTTCTCCGGTCGTAAGTACATTCCACCGATGGTATATTATCGCACTGCTGCTTGAGCATCAAGTGCTGAAGTTTCGTCAATGGATTTTGGAAATGGGCTTCACAATTTTACAAAAGCTATATTATTTGTACCCTCAAAGTATGTGATGCACAGGACTACTGAAATTCACCTGGGTTGATTTTTCGGAAGTCTTTGCGATCATCTTCTGTTGTTAAAAAGCAGAGATGCTATTCAGAAATATAACATCATCTCTGTGATCGTATAAATA